AGTTGGCAGAGCCCCTACCTACAAAAGCGCACCTGATCGATGAGTTCAACAATAAGATGTTCGCTTACTGGGACCAGATCACTCTCGTGGGCTGCCAAACATGTGGACGCACCTTCAGGCAAGACAAGGCTGCTCGCGCTGGCGAAAATGGACCATTCCGCGATTGTTGATCTCCGTTCAAGGCGCCAAATCGATGAGCATACTGTACCATCCAGTTGCCATGCGTCGGAAAGGAACCAGAAGCGCTTGGATCCTTGCCGTTGGGCCATTTTCAGCTGTGATGGGAGAATTCAAGGACATGGCCGGCTGCATTAGTTTGTTAGGCAAGCACTTGCGAAACAATGCGTGGTGAATTCCAAGCGTCATTGGACATGTCATGGTTTGGTGCTTTCACGACGTTTGCCGCTGGGTCCACTTCATTCATAAATGAGGTCCATTTCACAATGCTGTTCTACAGTTCCTCCCGTTACTTGGACTAGCTGTGAAACGGCTAAGACTGAGCAAATGGACTGACTCCAGCGTAGTCAGTGGGGAATGTTCCATGCGGCAAAACTTTACCAGAACGTGTGTTCGCCCATCATCTTGACACACAACCATCTGGTAATCTCAAACTGTGTCATTCCGTATTCTGGATATATATCTTTGCTGTGTTTTTTTGGCTCCCATACGACCATGGCGATCACCAGACCTGTTGCCCGACACGGCCAGCAAGGCGAAGGGGCTTGCACTGTCATGTTGTGACAAGCACGTAATCTGTGCAATTGAGCCAGGCCCGAGGCACTGCGGAAGCATCAAAAAGCGTGCAAGAGAGGGGTGTTCAGCGGTCGCAGCACTCCGGGCAGGGGGCCGGGAACGCCCACCCCAAGGGCCGAGGGAACTACCCCCTCCACAAGGAGCGCCAGCGAGCCGATGGGATCCTCAAGCAGTCTCTGTGAACAGAAGCACGACACAAGCACGTACGTACACTCAAGCAGGGGTGGCAGGCTCCCGAGCTGTGCCAATGCGTTGTTCATCAGCAGCATTGGATGCTGATCGCTTGCCATTATTGCCGCTCGCAATACGCGGAAATATCTCGTTGACAATAGCGAATGGCGGTATTGTCATAAATTACAACGGAATGTGTTATCTACAGAAAAAAATGTGCACATTGAAGACGCGATGTGGGGCTAGCTCAATGCCTTGTTATGTAAAACTTCATGGTGAAACGCGATTAGGGGTCAATTGGCGCTCTTTCCATCGGTCCAATAGACCTAATCAATAAACGCAATGGTAGTCCATAAACCCAATCGAACCAGTGCGACATAGAATACCGGTTCGGGTGCCTGTCTGTCCTTGAATCGTGGGCTCTGTCCCTGCCCATAGTCCGTGTGTTTAAATAGCCGTATATTGCACTATTTACGTGTTTTGTTGCATTGTAACGATGTTTCTTGAGTTACAGATGGCTTGCATAGGAGTCAATGTAGACTCGTATCTCATCCATGCGTGACACGGAGCAACATGCTGTACACTGGGCACTGGGGGTGCCTTAACTTCAGCCAGCCCGGAAATCACGATTCAGGGGATGAGTAAGTTTGTGCAAGGAATGAGACGACAACAAAGGCCTTCATCCGCCTTTGGGTTGGCAACTCTTGGCACGGCGTGGTGCTGAGCGACGGTGGATACACAGGAGTTTTGATTGCTGGTGATTGAAGTGAAACTGAATTATGTGCATTCTTGACGGGGAGGCAGCATTGTCAAGCCCCATTTCGTATTTTTTTGGACTCAACAGTGTGCCAACAGAAGCGCCGGCCATTGCAGGGAAGATCCTTTGTTGGACCACAGGGAGGCCCTTGCCGAGGAGGCAGGAGTTGGCAGTGGTGGTGAAAGTTCCTCTGTGCAGAAACTTGGTCGCACCGCAGAACAAGACGGCAGCTCAAGTACCTATACATGTTTCCTATGCGGACAACAGTACAGCGGCGAAAGGTAGAATGTTCGATCGTCAATGAAACTCGAATTTTGGACGTATCTCAATTCCTGGAAAGAGTTCCCTGTGATGCCCACCTTGTGGTGAGTAGTTTTGATTTTTTTTTTCTGTTGTGTTGATTACCCGCCGACCTGTCTGCTGCGATTAAGAACAGCTGGATCACTTGTTGCTTCTTGCGTGAGTTCATAGGTTTTTCCGATTCTGCAGATTCGTTTCTTTAGTGGTGGCACGATTTCTGAAAGTGCTATTCATCACAAGCTAGCGTATAATGCTGGTGTGAACAAGGGGTGTGCCGACGCCATGCGTGCAGCAGTGCGTGGTGTTACCACAGCTGTGCATTTGATGCCCTCGCGCGCTTTCCTCCAATTGCCAGTTTGGCTGGCAGCTGGCCTGGGAAAAAGTCAGCTGTTCGCGGACTCGCCTGATTTTGGATGCCATTGTTGGCGATCAGTTTCAGTAGGAGAGGTCCCATAGCTTAGAATTGAGGCATTACAGTCGTGGGCAGAGGCGTTGAGGCCCGGGTTAAGACCCTGAAAGATGTCCATCTGTATTGCCTCGTGCAAGTGAAACAGTAACATGAGCTGATAAATTCCTGTCTTTAAGCTTGCGCTCAAAGACAAAATGGGGCCTTGGACCTTGCATGTAATGATGGGCGTGCATGCGTCAAGCACATGTTGTCTGTCTGTTATCCGTTCATTTTGTCCGCTGGTTGTCCGTGATCAGCGAATTGAAATCCTCAATTCATCTTGACGTTGAATAGGAGGTTTTGCTGGGAACGGTAAACCTTGATTTTTGTTGTTGTGGGCAGCCTGGCTGTCCTTGTTTCATGTTGAACAATCAATGACGGTCGGCTTGAGACACAAGCCACGGACCGGCCACGAGGCACTCTCGCGCATGCTGGCGTCAATTAAAATGGCAAATGGTGCTTGGCGCTCGAAGAATTGACCTGTTGCTCACCATGTGCCCAGTCTCTGCAGTCACATTCCCCAATGCCAGGCGGACTGGGCAAAAAGGGAGGCCGAAAAGCCAGCGCCCGAGCGCTGCTCAGCTCCCGGGATTCCCTTTGATCTGCACAAGCCACTGCCCGAAGACACCGATGCCATTGACGCATTCAATTGCAGGATGTTAGCTATCTACAACGCCGCTGTTCATGCGCCCTCCCTGCCTCAGGATCCACGTGCAGGTGCACAGTGGACGTCTGCTCTCCCCGAACTGTGTACTTCTGGTCGCTGACTCAATAATGGAATCTTTGTAGAATTGAGCAAAAGCTGTTGCACTATTGCGCAAATGTAGGCATCACTTCGCTGTCCAGCATGTGCTGTGCCTGTGGCAGTGATTCTTTAGTCGCACAAGGGGGAGGAAACTGTTCGGAATTTTGAGCTGTCCGCTGTAATAGAATGTTGTAGCGCCCCATGTTGTCTGGCATCGGATATTTTCGCACCTGTTTTTGACACGCCCTGTGTCTGTGCATGGAGAAGCCCTACATGCATTATGTGATCAAGGATGCAGTTTTGGCAACAATGCCATGAGCAATATCCAGGTGTTTCAGGTTTTTAAATGCGAATCGAAATCCTGTGCTGAAAGACCACATGTGGCGTCCCTCCCCAGTCGGTAATAGTTGTTTCTTACAATGCCTTTTGTCCGAAATGGAATGCTTGGAAATTTTGTAGTGTAATCCAGGACATGCATGTGGTTGTGAACGAATCTGCTCACAGACTGACTAAAGCTCGACTTCTCTACAGACACCACGCCTTGAGCAGCTTGTAAGAAGAGAGGCAACAGCATATGGACAAGGGTGTGCCCGCCGCCTATTCCTGACGACCTGGACTTCGATGCAGCAACGAAGAACTGAGTGACAGATGGTTGAGTTGTCAATGAGTTCCATAGCGTTCAGGGTCGGTTATGTCGAGATTGACCGCAGTGGAGGTGCCTCTGAAAGACGAGGTTTTATAGTTGTCTGACCGGGATTCAATGGTGCAGATCATGACGGTGTTGAGAACTGTGAGGGGGAATTCCTTAACTAGATCGTTGGGAAATGGTGAAGCCCTCTTGATTGGGGATGAATTTCATGTGTTGTGCTGGGGGAGGGTTGTCCAATGGGGGTCGTACTCCCAATAAATGTCACACGCAGATTTAGTTGATTCAGTGTGACACAGCTCTTGCTGCCGGTGCGGGCGCAGGAACGTCGCCCCCCTTTCTGGCCTCGTGTCAGGGAAACACCAGGTTCTTTCCGCTGCCTCTGCTATTCCCGAACATTCAAATGTGTGTAAAGTCCAGCTCGTGGGGAACCGACATTTTGCTGCGTCGGGTCATCGTTGCAATGCTCAGCTTCTCCCCACTAATTCTATATCCAAAGCATAAACCACCAGCATTTCCACACACCCATCTCACTCCCAGATGAGGGGACATACGCGCTCCGCCATCAGAGAAATGCAGAAACAGAACACTAGCATGTAGGAACGAAAACACATTTGCCATTTTTCTCTGCGCACAAGATGGAACTTGTTCCCTGGGGCCATAGAGCTACACTGTATGTTTTAATCGTCTCTCGACAGCTAGCCAATTGTCAGCACACATCTGGTGGCCAAAGCTGCCGCATTCGTTTTACATGACATCCACACCCAAACAAGGTTTTGTTTGGCACTGTGAATGCAAATGCAATCAAAAGAAATTATCGCTGACGAAATAATGGACGCCTCGTTCGTAAGTATGGGCACATATAGGCCAGCCCGCCTGGGCAGGAGGCCTGCAGTCCACTCCACCCCTTGGAACAGAGTTCCATCCAGACTCCTATCAAATCCGTCAACCGCTGATCCAGCCGGCGGAATGCTGGCCAATCGGCCAATTCCGTGATCCCTCAATAGGCAACTGCACAAAATCACCCCACACTTCACTGCAGGTCCACTGTCTGCATTGTGTCTTCTCAAAATAAATGTGGGAATGGAGGACAATGTCTCCAAGATCCCTCTCAGCTACCACAATCAAATCACCCACAGCCTTTCCCCCACCCAACCATCCCAATGCCCATCGCCCACAATCACGGCCCACTCGTGCCACCCTGCGGTGGCCTGGATGGCGGTCTTGGCCCCATGGGCATCGGTGGGCCTGCGGGATGCATTGGTGGTGGCATCATCTGCACCATCGGGCGCGGCCCTGCACCCTGTGGAGGCCCTTGCATGGGGGGCCACTGCCCAGGCATCGGGGGACCGCCAATGGGGGTTGGCCCCATGGGTAACATCCCAACAGGCATCGGCATCCCCCTTCCGGCAGGCATAACCTGATACCCTGGCGGCGGTGGCATGCCAAAGGGCACGGGCTGCATGGGCGGCCCTGGGGGACCGTCGGGGTGTCTTGGCCGCTTGTTGTGTCCGGTCGAGGTGTCTTCAGAGGTGCTGGGCTCAGGGGGCCGCTTGGGTGCCTGGCCAGGTGCAGGCGCTTTTGTGGTGCCCATGGCAAGGGGGTCCATGGAGGGGTAGTACTGGCGCTCAGCGGGTGGGCGGGGGGGGAGATTGAAGTAGTTTGGGCCGTAGGGCTGGAAGGGGGCTGCACCGCCCATCTGTATTTGCACCTGCGATGCGCACCCTGATGACACTGAGTCCTGTGCCAATAGTCGATTGGTCCAGAAAATGGAAAGTAGCCAGCAATGCACAGGGCAATTTGGTAGTGAACAAGGTTGAAAGCAACCTCTGACCAAGTGTGGTGTAAGTGCCTAGGTGGCAACTAAAGAGAGTGACACATATTGATGGCCCCAACGTGTCCTTGCAACAAGTCGTTTTTCGATGCATTCCTACAGTGCACCTCAAAATGAAATGCCAAGATCATCAACTCAAAGTCATTTTCCTCCCTTTCAATTTGAATTTCAATCTGCCAAGCAAAATCCAAAAATTCAATCCTGACAGTGAGAACGACAGACCTGCGGAGGAAGCATTGTTGGCCGTGGTGCAGACGAGGAGGGCTGCTCTGGCAGCCCCGTGGATGGGGCCTCCTCACTGCCCTCCTGGGGTTTGGGCTGTGGAGGGCGGCCCCACATCAACTTCAGCCGAGTGCCCCTGATGATGAGGCGGTTGGCCATCTCCTCAGCAGCAGTTTCAGCTGCCTTGCGGGTGGTGTAGGCAATGAACGCACAGTGCCGATTCTCGATGATCTTTATGGACTCAATCTCTCCATATGAGTAGAACTTGTCTCGGAGGTCTTCCTCTGTGATGTCAGAGTTCAGGCCGCCGATGTACAACGTCGTGATCGAACTGTGGGCAGCAGGACAGGCAGGGATCCCTCATTGCACGCTACTGCTGCACTTAAGAGAGGATTTTGCATTGCAAATACAACAGAAACTCTTCTCATGTTTAGTGAGGTTACTGGAAGCCCTCATGGGAGTCGTCTCAAAGTGGCCCGACTGGTACAGGAGATTCACTTGCTGGCTAGCTATTGTCATTAGTCGTTGCACAATACTACAGCGACACAAAACACAGCTCAAGGACTTGAAACCACAAACCCTGTGAATTTGCCAATGCTTGCCCCATTCACAGTACGACAACCCACATCACAGAAATATCGCACTGTCAAACTTACTGGACAGAACATATTGCAGTTGGTGTGAGCCTCCGCTCATTCTGATCGACAACAACAGTGGCAACAGCGCAGTCTTCTGCCCTGGCGCTGAAAGACTAAAGTGGCTTCCCTGTGCTCTAGTCTCTCCATCTGTTCACAACAGACAGTCACCAGGAATGAAAGCAATGGCTGTGCTACAACTACATTCGTTTACTTACTCATCCTCTGGCGGTGTCAACGTTGGCATGTCCCCAGCCCTGCGCAGCATCTTTTTTGCTACTGGGTCATTGATGCCATAGTATCTGTCCTTGATGTTCTGCTCAGCCAGCTCCCCGGTGGTGGGCATCTCATGCCTGTAGGGGCATTCTGCGCCTCGGTTGCACAAGCCACGCACAAAGAAGGAGCATATAGGAGCCATGTTCCTCTGCAGGACACGATCTCAGAACTTAGCATCATAGTGCATGCTGTGTCCACAGCACTGAGCTGCCTGATGCACTTTGGATCACTTTCATGCACACTGGACCTGCGTTGTTCATAGAGCACAACACGCACTGCTTCCATTCCCACACCCACACTGGCCTTTGTACAGACATTTTCAGCAGGATTTTCATATCTTCAGGACACTTGTAAAGAGAAAAGCATTGTTTCTGATGCGCATGCGAGGTATGTTGCAGTGCAGCCACCATGCAAGTCTTGCGACTCATGCAATTTTGTGATTGATTGATACCCTAATTGTCAACATGGACCACAGGCCACAGTTGCACACTTGTCACAACACCTCAGCCCGAAAGCCATCATACACAAGATGCTTGTTCGGTCTTCAACTGGTGGTAGCGCAAGCAGGAATTGGCATTCGGAAGCTGGCAGAGACATAGGTACGATCTCAGGCAAGCCCAACTGTTCCTACAGGGAGAAGCAACAGGCTGCCCAATGGCAACCTTGTCTGGGGCTCGGCCCCTTGCTGTTGAACATTTTGGACAGGGTACCAAAAGCAAGAAAGCAGGCATGTAACACTGAACATAGCCCAACATTAACACAACTGAATTAGCAGTGGACACAGCTGCATGGCTGTTGTCAGGCTGCTTTCTGCCAGTGGTAAGTTCCACCAATTCTGGCACTGCGCCTGCAAAATCACTCAATATTTGGAAGGGAAGAGCTGTACCAGATGTTGAAAAAGGCCATTGTGACGACACAGGAAAAAGGTACCATATAATATTTATGGTGAATGTTTGGGGTATACTGACGAGCAGTTCGTTCAGCAATGGGTGACAACAAAAGGGGATACATCGGGGCTTGGCCCATGCTTTACAACCATGGAATGAATTGGGAATCATTTTGTAGCAACATGTTTTGGCTGCCTGTTTCCTGTGCCTGGCAAGTGTGGTCGCTCACTTTGTAGTATGGAGTCGTCCTCTGGAGCTTGAGGATCAGGTCATTAGGGGAGGCCTTCTGGTATTCAGCGCCCAGCTCCCCTGACTTGGTCAACTGATCCAGTTTGTACTCCTTGTTGACATCGCTCTCAGGGATGACGTCCTTGTCGATGCCCAGTGCAGAGTCTCTCACTTGGACAGGCAGTCCGTAGTCCAGATCCAGGAGGCAGACCTGTCCCGCAGAAAGGAGGAGTGTAAAGGACGAGGCATCTTTGTGCAGCAAAGGATGGTGGATCTGGAGCTCAGGTAGGGTCAAGCAGAAGGAGCAATGGAATGATCCAACCAGGGCTGCTGCTGGCAGATGGATATGGCTGCTGCCCAGTTGGTGATGGCTGATGCAGAGCCATTGCATGCCTATGTGGGGAAATCCTGTCATCCTGTGGCTGGTTACCACATGAAGCACAATAGGCAAATGAAGCGTGATAAACCGGCAGTGAAGGTCCTGATGGTGGGCAGTCCTGCTCTGGGAACGATCATGATCGTGTCATCTGCAGGGCTTGTACATTTTGGACAGTGCTGTGGATGATGAGTGCTTGGCATTGTGAAAGGAGGTTACCAAGACAAAGATCCCCGGCACAGCAGCACAGCACCGCACATTGGACCAATGTGTCACTTGTGGCAGGCCTAGGTCTTTCTTGCCATGCCAATTAAATACTCTGCATCTCAAACAGACCCCCCTATCCCTCCAATTAGATACACCACACGAATCTGCTCCCATTTAGAGGGTTTGAGATTCTGGTTGTAAACAAACTTGCAATATTCTACCATGAAATGGCTGTTTCAAGGTAAAACCTCCTGTAAACTGATGAACATCAATGACATCCACACATCAGCCTCAACGTGGGCACCGGAATGCCAGTGTTTATTGCATGGCCAGCGGCATGACTTTCAAAGACTTGCTGTTGTTGCGAACACACACAACCCAGGGAGCCCTGCATGATCTAGAAGGCACGCTATGCTGCAGCATGGTTTGTTTTTTGCACTGTTGTGGGTGGCCTCCACTTGAGTGACAGGAAGACAACTCTGGCCCCATTCAAGGAAGGCATTGTCATTTTGCAAGCAGGGGCTGGTGATGCACACTTTCCAGCACTGTTACTCCATACAATCTGACGAACAATAGCAACAGCAACATGCGCACAAACCTTGATTACTTGGAGTTGGACATTAATGGTAACATGGGCCAGTGGCATGACATTCAATCAGTCATCAGACTTGCTCTGAACCACAGCAACAAGAGAACAAACACATACCTGACACACGTTCTTCGCCTTTGCAACCTCCTGACATATGATGGTTTTCTTGTACCTACAGATTGGCACCAGGCTGCCCATGAACAACACGCACCAAATCCTCACACTGCACCCAGCTGCGCAGCAACGAGCCCCGTACCTGGCGTCATTGCCGGGTCGCCACCGGAACACCGTGTACGGCCTCCCAGATATGTGGCAAGTCCCTCCATACTCAATCTGCACGACAGCGAACCAGACCCCGTTTCAATCGAACACCAACACGGGCAGGAATGTAAGCTGAGAGAGCTGCCTGCTCCCTTTGAGTTTCGCCAAGGAAGCTTTCCGACTCCTTGACTCCAGCCTGCACTCATAGATGCTAAATCGACAGCCCCAACCACAGTCACCGCGCAGCTAACCCTTCCTTCGGGGCCCCACTCGAGTGCAGCCGCTTCGCTCCAGCCGCTACGGTCCCCAAAGCCGCTGCCGCTGCAGCAGGCCCCCCCAGCCCAAGTGGCAAAAGGCGGCCCGAAACACGCACCCTCTGCATTCGGACATATGGATTGGGCCCCAGGCACGTCTCGCAAACGATTGGGAAGTCTGATCTCTCCCAGCCATCGCTGTCGGGGTCGTGCAGGATGCGGTGGGCCATCGCTGAGGCTGCCCTCACGCGCAGGGGCGCGTGGCGCGGAGCGGCAGCGTCTCACGCGGGGCTGTCGGCTCTTCAGTGTCCGGCGGTACCGTTCAGGCGTGGGTTCAGGCGCGGGTTTGGGTTCGGGCGCAGCGGGCTTCAGTGCTTGAAACCGCCATACATGCTGAGCCGCAGCCAAGAAATGTAAATAATAAAATGGCGCAAAAAAAAACAATTTATACGGGCTAATTTACACCGGCTACCTCAGTCACTGCAACTCCAACCATCTGTGGAAAACCGTGCCCATCGTGACTAGGACAGGTACTGGGTGATGGTCCACTGATTCCTTGTACAACGCCCTCTGCCATGGGAACGAAACTTGGAAAAAATACCTGTGCTTTCACGTGCACCTTTACGTGGTACATCGCAGAGCTGTTCTGTAGAACAACACTCTGCTGTGTTTCTGGATGCCCTGTTCGGTTGAGCAGCCGGTTCAAGGGCCGCAGCCTGTCGATTTGTTCAACCCCATTTTCACGACACCAAGCAGTCCTTCTCAAACGTGTAACCAACAAAATCTGATCACGTTTGGGACCATCCTTGCGTGTCAAGATATCCGTCGGGTTCGACTGCGAGCACGGCCGTCGTCTCTACCTGCAGCCTGGGAAAAAACGATCAACCAAAGCTAGCCGGTGCCAAGACGGACCTCCCACAACAGGTCATGCACATCTGCGAAGGCCTGAGATTCCCGAGCACTCCCACGCTCCGGAACTCGGGATTTTCGCGGATCTTTCAATCGGCCTGCAACAGGGATTATCGCGTCCACATCCAGCGCCAGATACTCAAATCTGTGGCGGCCGTTTTTTCTGCCGCCCACCCCCTGCATTTTTTTCGCCCACCCCCTCTTCGGGTCAACCCCATCGCTCATTGCGGTCTCCCTGGCCGAGCGCCTCGTCGTCCAGAGCGCAAAAACGGCCTCACCGCCACAGGCGGCCCGCGCGCGACTGCAGCAGTCGGGACCGCTGCTAACGAGCGCACCGATATCACCGGGCGCGGCTTGGCCCCGCGCATGCACCTCGAAACTGCCCGCCCACCCACCCGCCCAACTCGCCGTAAACCGGCCACCCATCGATGACCTCCGGGTTCGGCTTCGGCTTCGGGTCAGGTGAGCGCGATTGGTCGCCTCCTGCGCTCCTCGTAGCCTCTGGTGGCCGCATGAATTGCTAATTGACGTGCCTGTGGTCACCGTCTCGGCAGGATTCAGTCAACCGGGTTCGAGCTTTGGGTTCGGGGCAAGCTCGTCGACAGCGTTCGGCGCCCAGCAGGTGGGTGGCGCCGCTGTCTGGGCATCCCCTCTTCATTGCGAACCTCTCGATCTGAAAATGGCAGTGGAACGCGCCAGTGATTTCCCGCGGAGACCCGGAATCTTAGCCCCCAGAGGGCAATGACGTGGTCTCATGCTTTGCCCCGGAGCAAGCCTCCGACGTTCCAAAACGCGCGGACCCGTGGACGCCCGGGTGCCGCGCTCCTCCCGCTACTGCCTCTCGAATGCCCATCGAATTCTTGCGTCGCGCTGTATGCTGGTGCCGGACGAATTCCCCAGCCCGCGCGAGCATTCGTTGTGTGTTGCTTGCTGACGTTGCCACTGCCTGGCAAACACAGACCTCGCCTTTTGGGACAGCAAGCTCCAACCTGTTCGGGACGCCGCAGGTGGGTTGCCATCAGTGGCAGAAAATTCTTCACCGGAAGATGCCAGCAGTGTCGTGTTATGTTATGGGAGTCGCGTTGATGGAGTCCCCACGGGGGCCATTGTGCATTTGTCTTGGGAGTTTTTGTTTAGTGTCTAACACCTTTTCCGAATACAAGAGCGGAAGCATGTCAAGCGTTGTTTCTCAACCTTTGGATTAAGACTTGTACACTGATACCTGCTTCCATGCTTGGAGACTTTGTTTCAACACACGTTGGATCTGGAACCAGACATCAACCAGGTCACTACTCAGTTTGTCTTGTTAGGGGCCCATTGTGCCACGCCTTCTTGTGCGCTGTCCTTGCCCTTCATCGTCTTGAGCTCGTTTGGACAGTGCTTTGTGGCTGTCTTTTGTGAATATTGCCAAAGCAGTTTCACAGCCGTTGTCCATCCTGCCACTCCAGGCATCTACTGGAGGAGGCTTGTTTTCGCAAAGCCCTGGTTTCCAGGTGGGAATTTTCACTGATTTTGCAAGTCGGCTTGAGTTTCCCAAGAGATAGCCTGAGCTTGGGAGAATACCATCAAAAGAAATTCGAATGTATTGCAAGAAAATTCAGTGAGTGGAATTGGGTTTGCCTGTGAACGGATGCTGCTGAGGTGTGGAGGGGCTACTGCCAATGCCCACTATGGCCCCTAGAAGAGCACCGCCTTGTGGGGTGTGTATTGGCAGGCCCAAATTTTCTGCCTTCTTCATGTTCAAGCAATTGTGACAGCATCAGTGTGTATCTTGTAATGTTCATGTGACTCCTGTGTGTGATCGTCATTATTTTGGGTGTTGGATGCACAGCTGCAGCTGGATTGATGCACGAATCAATAACCTTCTGGACAATGATATGATGCAACCCAGCATCTAACTGCAATGCCAAAAGTTTATTTGGTCACCTGCAAGTGGTGTTGGCAGTGCTTTTTCATGATCAGCACATTGTATGATGGTTGGCAGTTCATGGAACAACAGACAATTAAATCAGAATGCAAGATCGCAGTCTTGGCAGCATAGCATTCCGCTCTGGGGTCAGAGTTTTCTTTGGATATCCTTTGTGTGGTTGTTCCCCTTGTGGCCAGCATCGAGTTTCACATGGTGCATTGGGCACTCAATGGATTATCTTTAGCTCCCCCCCTGTGCCAAATTGCTGTGGTCACTGTGCTGCATGGATGCGGCTGTCATTTGAGTGTAGCACAAATTTGTGGGTCCAGTTACGTGCGGGCTGCATCAAAGTCCTAAGAAAGCCTCATGGTGTGCCCATCTGTTGCTGGTGAATCGGGCGGAAGCGTCTCTTTAGTATATTGCTTTCTTTCATTGACTCATCCGCCAAAATGGGAAGTGTCATGTGACTTAACTGGAGTGTGAGAATTGTAAATGCAGCGAACTGTTCCCATCATCATCACATGCCAGCTTCCAACCTGCTGACTTGCATTTTGCTGGCCTCCTGCAGAAGCCATCCAATGCATTTGGTGGCGGAGGTCTGTTCGGTCAGTCCTCGTCCCCTTCGATCTTTGGGTCAACACAGTCATCCTTCGGAGTAACTGGTGGGGGTCTGTTTGGTCAAAATGCGATGGGAGGCAGCCCTGGCCCCTCTGGGGCCATGGGCACCAAGCACACACCATTTCAAAGGATGGCGGAGTCAGAGGGCACTCAAGTCGGCAAGCCCACTGTGACAGTGCACTTTGACCACATCTGCGCAATGCCTGCATACGTGAACAAGACTGTGGAGATGTTGCGGTATGAGGACTACCAGATGGGCAACAAGGGAGGTGACACGGGGCTGCCTAGTGGGGGCTTCGGGTCTGGCATAGGGGGCTCATCAATTTTAGGAGGATCCACGGGGGGGGCGCCTTCTTTCTCGGGATTCGGTACGCCTGCCACCACCAGCGTATTTGGGGCCCCGTCCACCACCCCTACCTTTGGCGCCAGCACAACTGGAGGATTGTTTGGTGGCGGGCTATCTGGATCTTCAGGGGGAGGGTTTGGTGGGTTTGGAAGCTCGACCTCAGCCCCTGTTTTTGGCAGCACGAATAAGTTTGGAGGCATGGGGGGGACCACTTTTGGTCAACCACAGTCCACTGGGTTTGGGGGTTTTGGATCATCCACAACTTTCCCAACATTTGGAGGATTTGGGTCCAGCAGCGCCCCTGCTTTCGGTGCATCCTCCACTCCTGCGTTTGGAGGAGGAGGATTTGGCGCCAGTTCGGGCAGCCTCTTTGGGAGCAGCACCACATCGGCATTTGGGTCGACGCCCACTCCCCAAACAGGTGGCATATTTGGAGGTGGTGGGTTTGGTGCTACAACTGCTGCAGGCTCGATCTTTGGCTCTGGCTTTGCAGCCCCGAGCCCTGGCGGCTTTGCAAGCAGCGGGGGCTCACTGTTTGGTACTGGCTCTTCTGGGATATTTGGTGCCTCGTCTGGTGGTGGATTCTCATCGTTTACTCCCAACCAGGGTTCCGTCTTTGGGGCCTCTTCATCTTCATTCTTTGGCTCAGCTACCTCTCCTGCAACGGGTGGATCTATCTTTGGTAGTGCTACGCCTGGGAACGTGTTTGGTCAGCAAGGATTCTCCACAGGGGGAATAGGAGGGATGCAGTCAGGCGGGCTGTTTGGAGGGCAGCCATCGATATTTGGCAGCTCCGCAGCGCCTTCTGGGGGCTTCGCGTTTGGATTGGGTGGCCAGCAGCTGCAACAGCAACAACAACAGCAGCAGCAGCAACAGCAGCAACCGCTGTTACCTCCTCACAAGTTCCCCTATGGAACCAGCTACCTTCCAGAGCTGCCTAATCCATCTCAGCTTGACAGCAAGCTGCCTGGGACAACTGGTTCTGGCCCTGTGGTGAGTGTATTGGTGGCGGTGGATGACATGGTGTTGAGCTTGTCCAGTTAAATCACTGACTGTGTGCCCACAGTTTTGTCTTTGGGGATTTGGCACCAAGACTTGTTGTGTTATGAATTTCTTGGGCTGCATGGTGTGTTGGCATAATGCTGCTTGTGGTAAGTGGTGTGTGCCTGTTTTGTGATTAATTGGAATTTCATGGTGGAGACATGCAACTGGTGGGTGCAGCTGCCTTCTTGCACTGGCAAGTTGACAACATGATGCTGGGGATTTGGAACTCGATCAAGTAACTTGCGGGTGCAGTATTACCAATGCAGAGTAATTGTGTCACCATGTGAAGCAATGCGTTTGTATACAGCCAACCCATTGTGGCACCATCTTCATGGGCACCAGCGTTGCACACTGAATTGCTGCCATTGCATATTGCCCTCGGCAAAAGCACCTAAATTGCTGTTGTGCCCAGCAATGTATGGCTGAGGAAGATGGTGCCCATAGCACTCTGTTGGTGTCTCATTCTGCACTTCAAAAGCGTACACTCATGCCAAGTGTGTGCGATTTCAACTTGAGCACCTACCAGCAGCAACATCCCCTCCTGCCCGTTTACAGTTCACCGTCGTGGCCCCGCCAGAGATGCGAACGTACAGGCGACTTCCCCTCATGCTTCCTCCCTCTACTGAACGCCGCAGCCGCGCCCAGATGGCGGCAAGACACAGATCTGGTTACAGTGACAGGGAGAGACGGCGCATGGATGAGCTGTTTGGCGACACATTCACGAATCCCTTTGGTAAAGGGGCTGAGAGGAAGGACTGGATGCCAACCACCCTGTGGAAGACAGAGGCAGACAACCCATTGGAGCTGTGGGACGTGAAGAGCCACCTGCCATCGACAGTGGAGTCAGCGGTGCTGCTGCCGACAGCTGGTGGCGGGGTTCCAGGGACCAGTGGGGAGGGCAATCCAGAGAAAGGGCCAAGGTAGGGATCCGGGTTGTGCTTTTCTTTTCCTCTCTGTCATTTTGAGTTTTCGATTACATTTAAGTGAGAACGTGGCCCCAGAGACCCTGCAGAAGAGATAGATTCCTTTTGCCACTTCACCCGAGAATGGATGGTAATATATGCTCCCATTATTTGCCCATTAACATACATGTAGCTTCATTGTCAACGATGGTTTGTCGCTGTTGTGTTCCGGTACATCTCCAATGTATCCACTCTGCTGTATCTCATGTTGTAATGGGGAACTGCAGTGTCCACCTAAAGCAGGATCTTTTGTGTAACGTGTTGTAGCTATGCCAGATTCTGAATTGGAAGGTTGGGCATTGAGATTTGACGTTGGCTTCATGGCTGGGTGCTGCTCAGTGGTCAAACCATGATATGGTGAAGGCCAGCACCTGTTGATAGTTCACCTTTTTGTGAGCAGGATAGGAAAGCTCTCACAGTGGGCAAAGAGGTGTATCATCATGTTCCACAGACACCACCTTTGCTGCCCCCTTGTGCTTCACCTGGTTCAGCTTCCTGTTCTTGTTCGCGCCATGCTGAGGAAGCTGGGCACCATATGTATCTATTTGTTGAGGTGGACAGACAGTACCTGGGCACCTGCAAGGCGATGACAAATATGAAGGCAAACAATCCGTGATGACCTTTGAAACATGGGGTTTTGTGTATTTGCAGGGAGAACGGAGAGAATGGTGCTGCTGCAAATGGAGCTGGCAATGGTGAGAATCGGTTCCTTGGCGAGGAAGAAATTCTGGACGTGCTACCAGAAGTGTCAAGTGATGATTATTTCATCGTCCCAGACGCCCAAGGACTGAGGAACATGTTGAGGGGGGATCCACACGCCTTGAAGAGCTTGTTTGGCTTCACAGTGGGCAGGAAGGGGTACGGGAAGATCAAGCTTCTGGAGTCTGTGGATGTGGAGGGTGCAAAGATCTGTGAGATCTTTCAAATCAAGAGAGGTGAGTCGGACGGTTGATGCCGATTGCAACACTTTTGGCCATTGTTGCTGATGTTTGAATCCTGTGCGCTAGTTTCTCAAGATATGCAAGGCACTGGTTTCCATCTGTTGAGCGATATCAGGCATAATTCAGCAGTGGAGGTCTTGGTCCCCAACCAAATTTCACCCCCAATCCCCAGGGTTGCTGACTCTGTCAATATGGTTGGATGGATGTACGTTGTATTTGTGAGCCTCTGCCTGGGCAACGTGAGGCATAGTCTGCGACTTGGAACTTATTTTAGTGCACTCCCAGTGCATTTCTAATTCCTGGAGCTTGGTTGCTGCTCTGGAATTTATGACTTAGCAATGCATGTGCCAGTCTGCTTCAAACATATTCATCAAATTGTTGCAAATCACTGCCCTTGCACCTATCAGACTATCTCTGGTGCTGTTTGCTTCCGCTACGATTTATTCGCAAATTGTTGTTTCGCTTCTCCACCAAATGGCCTTAGCATTTCCAATGTACTGTTGCAAATTTTGGAGGGCGTCCAGTGTGCGCTCATCCACATATTGAGCTGGTTTCCATGGCATTGCAGCAACAGAATCGCTGTTGTCCTATTGGGGGATACTAATAACGCCTACGGTGAGGTGCTGTCCTTTAGGGGGTGTTTGATTTGGCATGGCTGTTTTTGGGACCTGACAGTTGTTATTATTCTGGAGGCTGCAGTGAACAGGGTGCTATTCTACTTTCAACTTATCTGATTGTGCTGTTTGTTTGCATCCAGCACAATAAAATTGCAGCTGTAAACCACATTTTCAAACAGCACTTCCACAATGAAATGGAGAATATAGCGAATATTTTTCAGTACTACTGGACTATACAACAAGTGACATTTCTGGTCCACTGTTGCTTGTGGCACAGGTGTGGTTTCAGCTTATGAAAAGGCACATAAGAAAGATGTCCCACCTCCTGGCTCGGGCTTTAATGTACCGGCAGAGGTTACACTGTACGAAATCTACAAACGACAGAAGGACGGCACTGTTTTGAGGGACGCAGCCTCCCAGGAGGCCTTCACGAAGCAGCTGAAGAAGTTGTGCAGGCGTGACGGGAGCCAGTTTGTCAGCTATGAGCCGGACAAGGGCACATGGATCTTTCGGGTGAGTGAATGTGTGCTGTTCTTCTGTTTGTTGTCAGTAAGTTTGCTTAGGGCATTAACGCTGGAAAGTGTGGCGCCTTCTATCCATCCTAGCAGATTCTCAAAGTGATCCGCAAAAGGAAGCGACAGTGTAGCTCAAAATCTGTTACTCAAAGTGGGCCATTGTGGTCACCTGAAGCACAGGAAGAATGAAAGTAAGAGATGTGCTCCCACACATGCTTGGGTGCATTTGCCCTCAGGCCTCTGATCAAATTTTTTAAAAAGCGATGAAGCACTGCACCCAAATGCTGTGACGCTTGCTTGTTGCAAACCAGACAGGGGACATTGAATTGCTGAAATCAGGTGTCCTGGGGGGAGGTCCGCTTTGGTCCTTATGTCTTGACGATTGGCATGGAGATGTGCTTTGTTTTCTCGCCATCGACTGGACTGGTAAAGCAATTGCTGTGCACGCATTCCCTGAAGCAATAATTTACTGAATCTCCGGCCCAGTTGCATAAATGGACGTTGAAGATTAGACACTTTGACAATATTCCGGTAGTGATGGTCACTGTGGGTACAACACCCCTCAGCATAGAACAAAGGAGGAAAACAACTTGTGTCAGCCATCGCAGATGGCAAGCTGCTGAGCAGTGTGCATGGCATGGCATTGCTTATGTGTCGCCACTGCATGCCTTGGGAGTGTATCGGCTCATAAAAGGATGGGATTCCTTCTGTTGCAGTAGCACATTATTGGCAGCAGTTCATGGTAGTTGTCAAGTGTCTGATTTGTCTCAACGTTTGCAAGCGTTAAAATTTTGAGTATCAGTCTCTGGATAATCTGCTGAACTGGGATGATTCAAGGTCAACTCCAAGTGCACGAGTCCAATCGTCCCCTAAGCATCTAGTCGCCCGCTTTTAGCTCGCTGGAATCTGCCGGTGCCATATGAATTGGGATAGCGATAGTTGGGGTAGATCGTCCGCTGGTGTTGCGCTGGCTTGCTGACTTGCCGTCTGATCTTTCTGCAGGTCCAGAACTTGTGCTAGCACAAGGGGGTCTGGATTGGCGACGAGGGCAGAAAGAGTGCGTCTCGAGACACACAGATGTGTGCTTGTCCAACAGAGCCATTGCAGCAGTCGGCAGCATAGTTGGGGGACACCAATTGTTCAGTTGGAACCTGTAGCGATGGGCGAATAGGTATTGTACATCTTATGACTCTGACGTTTAATTGTAGCAGTGCGGCCCATCCAGTTGTTTTGCAGCTTTGCCAGTTTGGCCTGTCAGTATGGCGTTTCTCGAGCCATCGTTTGAGCAATATGGTTGCACGTTAGGAGCGTGGAAAAAGGTGTTTAGGAGGCCAGAAATACTACAGTACGAACGCACTTCTAAAACACCCGTTTCGAGAAACTGCGCATGCTTTTGAGTTGAGTGGAGTTGTGGTGTTCAAGCATGTTGCATGCAACCCAATTGGCCTCCAGACCGGAGGCTCCAGTGCCTCAATCGGAGCCCGGCTCGGTTCACGGGACGTTAAAAAGGCTGAATGCAGCTCACTCTACCATTGTTTTGTTGTATATTGTGTGCGTACTATTGCACCTCTTTGTGCTCGCGTGCATGTCCCAATCATTTTAATTCTACAATGGAAATGCGAGTCCAAAGTCCCAGTGTTATGAACGACAGGTAATGAACTACACATCGGAACTTTTAAATATAATCGAAACACTGTAAGCCTCAATTTTGAATCGTGTGCCTCCCTACCCGCCCCAGGGTGGGCTCTTGCATGCAACTCGATCAAGAAAGGTAAAGGACCTTTGAGGGCTGCGGGGGTCCATCGGCCGAGCGCAGGATGCCAATATCCCTGGCATGTGCTCCGACGGCCCAGTTTGGGGCGTACCTTTGCGCCATTTCCAATAAACCCAGTCAGCAGTCCTCCTTCCCTTTCAACAAGGTCGCAGTCACCAGCAACAGGGATGCAACACTCCAAAGCGTTGTGGCTGCAGGTAGTTTCATTGACATCCACAACTGCATTCGTCATTCAATGCGCCCCCCTTTGGGGCGTCTGAGCTCGTTCTGTGTTAGCTTTTGCGGTTTGTTGGTTGGGGATCCAGTTTCTTGCGAGAAACAATAATGCAGGGTTTGGCCTTTCGTGGTTTCGGCACATGTGGCCACCAGAAGGGAAAAAAATGATGAAACAAAGCGTCCAACACTTCGCCGTCAAACTGGGCGAACTCTGATGGAGCCAGCCATCCTCATCCTTGCGCTTGCAAGCCAGCCTACCGATATACTTCCTCCGTCCAAGATTAATTGTCCTCTATGACTTTGCCACCCTACATCTCCATCACAGATACTTCATTCTTTAGTGAAATTCTTACCAATGGTACGACTATGTTTCGGGAATATACGGTCAAAATTTCAGGTCAATCCGTTTAGTATTGAGGATTTGGCAGCACTTTGTAGTAAGGTCCTCCCGCCAGAAACCCACCCGTTTTTCAACAAAGTCACCGAAACAGCCGTTTTCGCGATGGGGAGGAGCACGACTTTGCGGCGGCCAAACAAGACCGCCCGTGCAAAACTATCCATGCCGTTTGGACAGAAGCTTGGAGGGGTCCCTGCGAACAAGCAAAGCGGCAGAAAACGTGTCTTGGTGGGCTTGATCGTGGAAGTCGCTGTGGCTTCGCTGACCTAATTCGAGATCGATTGGCCAGTTCGGGGTTGCTTTCCCGGCCCAGATTTCTGGGCCGTGACCTTTCGAACTCCATCGCTGCTGTGAGAGATACCGCGCAAGGCCTCCCAAGCCCCTTGAAGAGGTGCGAAGGAATGTGATGGCCATCACCCTAATTTATGGCGGACGATTGGGGGAATGGCTTGGATTGGGGGATGGCAAAGTCGACCCTTGCCACGACAATGGAAAAGGTGGAACGCGATGCGGACGGTCAGATAGATCATTTTGTGTCTCTCTGACAAGTTGAGACTATGCAGATTGGGAAGGGTTGTGGACTGCACGTACAAGCTGGCCGCTAGTGCCAATTTTGGGAGTATGGGCCCAGCCACACACGAAGGCCTCGATTCAAAGATCAATCGAGGTGCTATGTTAGAGAAAAGTTGTAGCACAGCCTTAGAACGATAGCACACATAGAGCCCAAGCTTGAGCGTGCCGGGCGTTTTGCCTTTTCCGCTTGTGGCAAGTCCTTGCATCGGAGATCCGGGAGGGCAGCGATTTCTACCATCGTCGATGCTGTGACAACGGGCTTACTCGATGGGGATCCAAACACAGTGGAGCGTGTTTGGCAAGCGCTAAACCACGAGAGGGACGCTGCCCTTCGCTGCAATGGCAAGCACAACTTTGGTTTGGCACGCCGGGGGCGGGAACGACCCAGAACCACGTGGATCTCCAACGAACGCCGAATCAGAATGCACAATTTTGGGCCAAATCTTAGGCAATTTCAGGGGGCCGTCAAAGGTAGTGGGGTTAGGTATTTTTTCACAAAAATTGGTAGTCAAGGGTTTGGGGACCCAATCTTTTCGATTCTGACCTTTATTAGTACTTTTGAAGCGGTTTAGGTAACGAAATTTATCTTTTAAATAGAGGACAATTAATCTTGGACGGAGGAAGTAATATTAACGGTTTCTGCCATCATTCCATCACAGCCTCTCTGTCCTTCTCGGACTGTTTTCATCCCGAGTTGTGTGTTGATGCCTCATAAGGGGGCACGACGTCCTCACTATGTGCTACAGCACCGTCTTGATCAAGGCGACACTTCAGCAGGTGATAACAACATTGTGTCCGCAAGGGGCGGCACAGCTCCGTTCAATAAAGTATAATCGAAACTTCCATTGAAGTCCGTTTGACTGAACTTTCCAGACGTCGGTGCACCTCTCAAGGCCTCTGCGGCCTCGCGCCACAAAGCACACCACGCTCCTCAGAGAGTTTCAACGCGACTTCCGCATCCGCCCTGCCTCCCTGTTGTTGCACCAGACGTTGCACGACAGCTTGAACCCCAACAGCATTCACCTGAGTCTCCAAGAAGAGTGGAGAGTGGACACCAGTCTCGTGCCAAAAGCGTTTCACCGTTAGATGGATGCTAAAATGGCTGCACCATGCCAACCTGCTCCAGGTATCACAAGGTGGACGACGGTTATGCATAGCACGGCGCGCATCACAGGAGCCAGCTTGGCGGGACCATGTAGAGCGGTCGCCTTGCCAGACACGGCGTCGCAGATGGGCATACCAAAGCTGGATAATGATGCCAGAAATTTTCGAAAATGTGCACCATTTTTTCCTGCGCTAAGGTTGGGGTTCAAAGTGGAACCAGCCCTTGCGATCGCAACCATGACCCTGGTGCTTTACTGGCACACAGTTGCCAGTTCACAGCCCATGACCTTGTGGGCCTAGCGTGGCAGGCATGCGATCCGTTCACAGGAATCCAACCCACATGTATGGCAAGGACACACGCCACGTGTGGTTACACGTGGCACAACAGCGAGCCGAGATGATCGCGGCCATTGATTATACGCGATCCTGCAGGCAAAACTTGTTCCATGCAGCATACTGTTGTCCAGCTTTCATCGTTGTCTGTGAACGGAGTCTGTGCGCGCGTTCATTCACTTTGATGTCAACGTGGATGGGACATCTGGATAGGTGTCAAGAAGTGTCCAGCGCAGGGTTTGGTCGAAAGGTAGAAAATGGAACCAAATTGAATACCAGGCATGTTTGTCTGCTCACAGGACCAGCAAGAGTTTCCTCCAGAGTCCATCGGTGGTGCGCTTTGGTATTAACTTTCAGTGTTTTGGCTATTTATCTTGTTGTCTTTGCCCTAGTTGCTTCATAAACGCCCTGGCCTTCAGCCCAAGTGCAAGGTGCCAATCCGATGCACCGAATCATCGTGCGCATTGCACATCATCACCACTTGCAAACATGGCATCGTGGCTCTCTTCGTTGACAAAACATTGATTCCTTGCAGGAAGCAACATCGCTGACCCGTAGGCCAATTTTGTGGTCGATGCAATGGATCATTCCCAGTTCGTTGAATGGCCAAAGATCCCGCAACGTTTCACTAAGTTTGGAACATGGGCGTTTGTCGATCTACTCTACCGCTGCAACGACGCCTGCAAGTCAAGGGATCAATCAACCCTCTGCCCTGTTACGATTGGCATCCAGCACCTTACCCACTGTTTGAATGCTGGAATAAGAAATGTTGGCAGGCATCTTGGAAACTCCAAGGATCGTCAAGTTAAAGGCTGACATGGGTGCAACGTTGACGCAACTGAGCGCCACTGCCATATACACCATGCCCAGGTCATGCTTGGGGCAAGCACCAAGCCCGTTGCCAGCTTTCCATGCTTCCGGTCAGCACACATGCAGATGCATGATGCCATCAGCAACCCGCACGTTGACAGGGCTTTCGGCACTACCAAATTTAGATTCCAGATTGCAAAGTCAGGGATCCCAGCAAAGAACAAGTTGCGAGCCTTACAAACGCCATCAACGCCTTGGGTCTTGGGAGCCAAGCATCCACAAAGAACGATGCCGCGCCGATTCCCTCCGGCGATGCCCTCTCCACGCCCAGGGCGATCGATGCGCCCTCTCCAGCCCCGGCCACAAGCCGCCCGCGCCGCCGGGACCAGAGGTTGTCTGCAGTCGCCCAGCCCATCCGATCCCCCGACCTCAGAATTTCATAAGGTGCGGCCTGTCCCCGCTCTTCAGCGTGAAGGTGCTCTTCAGGTACCCCTTCATCTCCGCATCCAGCTTGGGCACGATCTGCGCATCCAGCTTCTTGTTGTTCTCGTAGTACTCCGGCTTGAACTCCTTCTTCTCCTCCTCGTCCGCCACCTCGAAGAAGTCCTCCTGGCTGCGCTTCTTCTTCTTCTTCTTCGCATCGGGCTTCACCGCCCTGAAGTACTCGTCCGTGAATACGTCCAGCGCCACGCCGCCCAAATCGACCTTGGTCGACGTCGCGATCACCAGGCGGGGGTGCACGCGCCGGGCGGGAACGCCGTTCACCCTGAACGGCCCCGTCACCAGCAGCATGCCCGACGGCTGCAGCTGCTTCAGAAACACCACGCGCCGGCCCTTGTGTTTGCCGGCCAGCAGGATGAGCACCGTGCCGGGCGTGATGCTGGGCCGCAGGGCGCGCTGCGTGTAGCGCCGCCGGGCCTTGGGCGGCGCCGCCTCGTGCTCGGTGGGGTACCACTGGCGCTTGGTGGCGCCCTTGCCGGTGGCACTGACGCCGGCAGGCCCGCCGCCGCCGTCCATGTCGACGCTCTCTGACGCACGCTTGGGCCTCGCGGCGTGCTGGCTCTCCCCCTGGACGCCTTGTTTGCGCCGCCGTAGAAGCAGCGACAAGAAGAGGGGTGTGGGGCCGGAAATGGGCTTAAATGAATCGGTTGATGAGGGCAATTGATGAGGGGCGGGCCTCGTCACAGGGAAGAAAGAAACGTACAAATGTAAAACGTGAAAGCGCAAAAGAGCGTAAAAACGTAAATGTAATGCAGTGTAATGAAAATACAGAAACGTAGAACAGCGAAGATGGAAGAAACGAAGCGACTTGCATCTTGTGTCACAAAAGTTTAGCAAGTCGAAGCATCCCTGCAGCCCTTCCTTTTGTGTTTGTAACTTCAGAAGGGCTCAGTGGAAGCGGGCAACATGCTATTTGCGCACTGTTTTTGGACTGTGTGCATGCATTGATGTGTGGAAGCCGGTCCATTCTTGAGTTTGGGGCACCCGTTAGTTGATGGATGATGTTTGCAAGACTCTAAGCAACCCCAAAACGTAGATTCATGCTGGGTGAACGATTCACGTCCAACTGGTTTAGTTTAGAAGCGCGTTATTTGAGATGCTTTAGGGATGTGAACTGTGTGTGTGATGCATACAGTGCTGGGTGACGTTGCACTGTACACAACTCCTGGACTACACCATTGCAGTACTGGGCTGCTTTGCTTTGCAGCCATAGATTGGCACTCGCATTCCCCGTCTTGCTATGTACCCTTTTGGGGATGGCATTGCCTTGTGCTGTCTTCTAAAACCACAAGAAAACTCACAGCCCTTCTCCAAAATGGGGTTCAGCACCCACAATTTTAACCAAAACGCAAAAATGGCATCCAAAACAAAGTGTACGATATAGACGCTCTGTCACAGCCTCCATGCATGCTGTTATGTTCTACAATCTGTTCGAGTGCATTTGCATTTCATAAGAACGTACAAGACTTATGAAGATTTAAATGCGCAAGATTCTACTTCGTCCGTCCAAGATTAATTGTCGTCTATGACTTTGGGGCGTTAGTTCTCCATCCTGTGAACATCATTTTTCAATGAAATTTCACCCAAACTTGTGATTGCGAGGTTGGAGGATACCGTCAAAATTTCAGGTCAATCCATTGAGTACTGAGGATTTGGTAGTACTTTGTAGCAAGGGACTTCTGGCCAGACATTTCTGTTTTAAAAACGGCCGGTTTCCGATGTGGCGGCGAAAACGTCGATTTTCCGCTATTTTGAGGAGCACACACTTGCGGCAGTGAAACACAGCCGCACATGCAGAACTATCCACGCCGTCCGGAGTGAAGGTCACCATGGTGCTTGCAAAGAGGTGCGGCGTTAGAAAACACGTTTCGAAACCGCTGATCGTCAAACTCGCTGTGGCTTACGGTTAGGATTTCAAGCTCGATCCAGTGAGTCGAAGATATGATCCGGGCCCAGAATTTTGGGCCAGGACTTTGCGGTCTCCATCGCCGCCACTAGGGTAGCCGCGGGAGGTTTTCCAATCTTCTTGACAAGGTGCAAAGCCAGGTGATGGCCATCACCCCAATCACTCGCAAATAAGTAGCGAATTGGCCATTCTGCGAAAATAACCAATCGATCTTGTTTCGGCGCTTGAAAGGATTGGGAGCTAGGAGAATGGCTAGAAGGGTAAAGTTGTGTCTTGTAAAGCAATCGAGACTCACTGGGCTGTGATGGATTGTGTATCAGGCGTAAGAGTTGGCCGCTAGGGGCCGTTTGTGGATTCTGGGCTGAGTTGCACATGAAAGCCTCAATGCAAGCATCAATCGAGGCCGACTGTCTAAACAAAGCTACAAAGCAACCTTGGAGAGATGGACCGCGCTCAAACCAGGCTTCAAGGCCTTGGACCTTGGCCTTTTTCGCTCAGTAAAGATCCGCGCATCGGAGATCGAGAACATTGCGGATTTCCAGCGTCTTCGTTGCCATGACAATCGCCACCCTCGAGAAGGATCCAAGCACCATCGACTGGGTTTGGCAAGAGCCACGCCACATGCTGGATGGCCCCCTTCGCCATGGAAGTAGCAATGACTGTCGTTGCTACTTGCAAGCAAGAGAGGGGCCCAGAATTGAGGGGTCTCTGGGAACGCGGAATCTGAACGGGCTTGTTTTGGACCGACCCAGGTCAATTTTCAGAGGCCACTCACAGGGGTGAGGGTTGACATTTTTCCTTGAAAATTGGCACCCAAGAGTTTGAGACCAGATCCGATTCTGGCCTCCTTTTTAATTCAGATGCTATTTTCATAACAAAATTTCTCATGCAAATAGACGACACTTAATCTTGGATAGAGGGAGCATAAGATAAGATTTGCTTGTTGCCAATAACATTGCTACTGATTGCACATGTGCCAGAAGGCATCGTCGGTAATCACAATCGCCAAAGCTGCGATACCACAACATGGTTTTGTAACTCGTCAAGCCACTTTCTAGTTGGATGTGAGACACAGCAATGTAGCACACATCTGATGCACATTGAAAGTGGCAGAAGGGCAGTCGTACAACACAACAATTTATTCTGAGAAATGACACAAGCCACGTGTGATTGTGAACCTGCGATGCAGTTGGTGCACGTGTCACCGACTCTGCATTGGTATGAGCTCTGTCGCATTGCTGGAACAACATGTACACATATACACTCACATCAACCCAGGTAGCCCATCTGTCATGAGTCACTTCATCAAGCCGTTAGGTAGCAAAAATTGCTCATACACCAGATTTTCTTTGTCTTCTGAGGGTGTCCTCCAACTTGCAACGAACTACATTACCACAGTGACAGTTTGAGGTCACCTGGGGACAGTTCTGCTGCCACAGCAATGGCACAAACTGGCGATTTGCAAGCAGCTGTTCTTCTGCAGCTTGCACATCGCTTGAGGATGCAATTAGACTTTCCATTGTATTCCACGATAATTGCATCAGGACTGCAGTTCGTATTTGTACAAAATTGGACCCTAAGGTTCAAACACCTGTGCTCGATACACGCACCGCAAAGACTGTCATCAGCCTCTGTGGCCTTCGACACACATCAGCCCCTGCCCAGCGAGCCCTCGCTGCTTTGAGAGCATTGTCCTCGCCGTGGACAGGTGCCCCATATCTGCATCTGCAGCAACCCCTGCTCACCTCTTCACACCTGCTACTTTAAAACGGCACCAACTATCCACACATGTCCTACTTAAGACACCATCCTAGCTCTCGTATCAAACAAATTTCTGTCTATTTACCTCAGCGTGACCCTGATGAAGCAAATCTACTGTGGACGACTTTAATTCCCACCACTGGCAGAAAATCGTCCAGCTCACAGAATCGGATATGTGTTAGGCTGTGTGTACCTGCTGGAAGTCGTGCAAAGCATTGCACACCATGCTAGAACAGCATTGAAACAGGCGATCTGATTATATCTGTTGAGCGTTTGTGCACCAGTGGTGCACATGCCACCTCATCAGGGCTCAACTATCCTACTCACAAGCCATCCCTCCTACCAAACAATTGCAAGCCCCTGATGAGGGAAACTTTGCCAATTACTATATGCTACCCCTGTGTTGGTCTGGCTGTTTGTGTCCATCTCACTCAGGGGGTCCGTGTGCCGACAGGTCATATGTAAACGTCCTGCCGCAGCCCTCCCCAAAGTCCCTCGCCACCCCCACCAGCATGTCAGAGTTCGAAAAGAAGACATCCTTCAATGATATGACTATCGCCTGAAACGACCCCTGCACACTGAGGACCAGGAACAAACAGCCTGTCAGGTTATCTTGACGATGCCGTTGCCTTCACAAGACCAAAATTTGAGCACTTGCACTTTGAAGGCAATGGCAAGCGCGAACACATCGACCCCCTGCCGTCACCAGACAGGTGCAAGGGGAGAGCATTGCCATAAGCTTTCATTGATAACAATTATCCAAAAGTTATGACAAATACTGTAAGCAAAGCAATCGTCACGTCTTCTGGCAATGCAACAACGAAGATTTATTGCGCATATGCACCCAGAATTCAATCTGGGCAGCCATAGGCGAAAGGGCAGTGGTCTGGCACACTTTTGACAGGTGCAGGTGATGGAGACATACCTGGGCCGCGTGGCGTGGTAGATGTACTTTGCAACCCTAGCCACGTTGGTGGCATCCAGACTGGCATCTATCTCGTCAAGGACGAAGAAGGGAGAGGGGCGGAAGCTGTGGATGGCAAAGAGCAGCGCCAGGGCGGCCACCGTCTTCTCTCCACCGGACAGCTGCTCCATGTCTCGGAAACGCTTGGTCGGCGGCATGGCGTGGTACCTTCGAAGCCGTCACCCGGAATCGATCACTCACCAACATCATTTATCACAATTTTCACCACTTTATCGATCACTGTCCAATATCTTCCTCGACGGAAGTTGAAGAAGAAAATGCAAAGAGGAATTGAATTGTGGAGAGCCAACGCACGCACAGACACGGGGACACAAAACGCAGGAAAAAGGGGGACGAGGAATATACCGTGTGCTTACAGAAAAAAAGGGGAACATGCCGCATGGCGACAGAAAAGCTGGAACATACCGTATGCCAACTGGCGAACCGTGGAGCGTACCGTATGCCGTGGTTGAATGGCTCGTCGGAGTTCTCCAGGTTGAGGTAGGCCATGCCCCCAAACGGGTGCAATTCGCTCTTCGTCAGGTCCCTGTATATGTCCTCAATCGCCGCCTTCACGTGGTCGTACGACGCCATGAACGCGTCGTAGCGCCGCTGGTGCACGGCGTAGAAGGCCTCCTTCGCCTCCCTCGCCTCCTGCCTGGCGGCATCCAGGGCCACCGCCTGCTCCCTCTCCTGCTCCTTGATCAGCTCGTACTGCTCCAGGGCTTTGAGGTTGGGCGCCGCCTTGGCCAGCCGGCCGCCGAGGTCGTCGATCTGGCTCCGGAACTCGCGCTCCATCTTCTCGCGCTGCGCGACGCTCCGCGTGGCACGGTGCTGGTGGCTCAGCGTGTCGAAGTCGACGGCGAAGTCGGCGCCCATCTCGACCTTCGCCGCCTGCACAGCCTCCTCGCGCCTGGACTCGATCTGCTCGATCGACGACTTCTTGGCGTCGACGGACCGCTTCACCTTGGCTGCCTCGCCGGAGATCTTGGCGAGCTTCTTTCTCATATCGCGGATCTCGCCGTTGAAGGCGTCGGCGGCCTCCTTGGCCTCCCCGGCCAGGCGCCGCTCCTTCGCCAGTCTGTCCTCCACCTCCTTGCAGGACGCCTCCGCCGCTGCCTGCCGTTCCTTGAGGTCCCTCAGCCCCTCGCGTGCCGTCTTCAACTCGCTCCGCAGCCTCTCCACCTTCACCATCAATCAATCAGTCAGCCGTGCTGTTCCCCCCAGGGCATCCAATCGGCGCTGCGATAGTTTTGATTAAGTCGTGGTCTCGTTGGTGCTCGGTGTACCCTGAAGCCCTAAACTGCTACACAACTAAACTACTTACTCCGTCCCAGATTAATTGTCATCTATTTGAAAGACAAATTTCGTTACAAGGACAGACTCAAAATTACAAAATAAGGTAAAAATCGAAAAAATTGGGTCCCAAAAACCTGAACTACCAATTTTCAAGAAGAGAAAAAGAGATGCGATCCCTTCAAGTGTAAGGCGAAAGGAAAATTTTCGTCATTTCTGACCCCAAAATATCGCGGTTCACTAGGTAAAAGAGCCTTGATACAAAGCACTGCCAAATTCTCAACATTGAATGCATTGGCTTGAAATTTCGATAATACACTCCAAACTCATAAGCACATCTTTGGGTGAAATTTCATTAAAAACTGATGTCGGTATGATGGGAAATAATGCCCCAAAATCATAGACAACAAATAAGTCTGGGATGGAGGAAGTGCTAAACTAATAAACAGACTACACTTTTCGCGAAAAGACTATAGCGCCTGATATATTCGTTTCTTACATTGCGAGAGACTGCCCAGCTCAGACTTCACCAAACTGGCGTAAGAAGACTATGAAGGCATGTTCGAAAATGAGTGCTCAAAGGAATGTGGAGAAATACATATTGCCTGCGAATGTGGTGTTTCGGCAGAGTGGTAGCTCCTCATGCTGGAGTTTTGAGTTTGGCGCCCACCAAGCACAAAAAGAGATTACAACAAAGGGACACCAGCATTATTTGGATGCCAATAAAACGAATGCTCGATGAGCCAGCCGTGTTTACTTCGGGGCCAATCTCAAACATGCAATCCAATATACAGCTTCCTCACCTTGTCCTGCTCTTGGTGCCTCGAGCGCTCGTATTTTAGCTGGTTCTCGATCTTGGCAATATCTGTCGCCAGACGCATGTCTTCCTGCGCCCTCTCCTCTGCTCGCTTCACCTGATTCTCTTCATACTCTCGGATGCTCTTCACGCCCATTCTCTTGCTAAAGGAGCTGAACAGCCGATCGGTCACAGCGTCTATCCTCACCTTGTGTACCATAAAGTGAACTAAATCAGCTCATGGCCTGAAAAGTGTATGCTTTTCAGCATTGATAGATTTGCACTTTGGATAGATTGTCTGTGTTGTTGAATGGTTGATTGCAACTTCAGCTGGCAAACCATGACAGGGTCTAAAGCATTCATCTTTTGAGCATTGCTTGTTCTGTATTTTTTTTGCTAACCTCTTTGCACAGCAGAGCAGCAGTTGACTAAGCTTCCAGCAAGTGTTTGTGTGGATGGGTGGTGGAAGACCAGAGTTAGTGTCAGCATGCACGACCTTCTTAAGCTTGGTGTGTCAGCTAGGTCAATGCTCTTGCACTAGTTTAGCTGTTTCTTGGCCTTTGGCCACAACATGCACACAATTCTTGTTGACACTCCAAATCTGAAGCAACCCCACATTTGCTTTGCGGATTCTACTTGGAATTTAGCCGAATCTTCAATGCATAACAAACCAACAGGTCAATTATCTTTCCTAAAGGCAGCTCATCTCGATCAACCTCCTTTCAAAGGCAGGACGAGATCGCCATGCTCCTCCTGAGTCCCCGGCAAACGCAAAGTCGCATTTCAGCTTCTCTTCACTTATCTCAAGAATGTGATATGCCTTGTAGGAAAAAAAACAATTAAGGATCATTAATAAGATCTTAGTTCCTTACATACTTGTCCTTGTCACTGGTCTAGGGTGATTGGCTTCCCTAGACTGTGTATTTAGTCTCAGGCCATGCAAAGTGCTGAGACATATAAATAAACATATAAATAGATAAATATAAATATAAATAAATAAATATAAATATACATATATATATATATGTGTGTATATACATTTATTTATTTATTTATTTATTTATTTATTTATTTATTTATTTATTTGTTTGTTTTCATTTATTTATTTATTTACTTATTTATTTAGCGGCTGGTCCGGCGTGAGTCATGGTGACTCATGTGCCATGGCGGGGTGGGCCCATGGCCTTATTGGGAAGGCGCCCACCTTTGCATTATTCCTGTATCAGAGAATGGCGGCGCCGTTTGCTACGTTTGAGGGCTCTACAAATAGCTCTCAATAAGACGCGTCGAAGTTACTTCGGTCGAATTTTCTGACACGCACGTTTTGACCTTTATTTGCTCGAATTAGGGAAGCGACAATACTTTTGGCACAGAGGCAGTATTTGTGTTTGAACGATGTTGGTGGTGCTGCTAATCAGGTCTGGATGGGCTTGTGTTTCTTCACCACTTCATGATAGTAAGTTCGATCAAACATCCAAGCCTATTTCATCAATGTGGAGCAATGCCACAACAATGGCGTGCACACAGTGGTGCATAGGCCTTCAAATACATGCTTGCCTGTATCCGATCGATCTCCTTCTGCCGGTCACTAACATTTTCCCTCAGCTGTTCCATCCTTGGCAACAGACCCTCGTGCCGCTCTGTCAGTTGTTCGATCTCTTTGTCCCTTGAGATAATCTTCTTGCCGGAGGCGGCTATCTCTGCCTCAGTGTACTTCTGCTTTTCTGCAAGGCGGACTACCTCACCACTGAGCTGCTGCTCCTGCTGGTGGGCCTCCCGATCCGATGGCATGTGCCTCAGCTCCTCCTTGTACCTGTTGAGTCACATGTGAAACAAAATGACATCATTGAAAGGTTATGGGATGCTGCTGCCTTTTGCTGATGTGGCAACATGGTTCAATCACGCAACCAAATTGGTTCATTATCACGATCAGAATCATGGCTCCCTTCAGATTTCACCACGAGGGCATTTGAGGAAGGTAGTTCAGCACAACGCAACTGGCCAAAGGACAAAGACTGAGAATGAGAAAGGGGACATTTCTGTTTTCATCGAGTGTCGAATCGGGGGGACAAATGCCCAAGTCATCATCCAGCTGATTGTTGCCCAGGTATTGGGAATGTCCGCATGCTCATGCCCATCCATGGCACGTACACAATTCTTATCAAGTGGGAACAAGGTATTTCTGCTACAAACCGATCATTGCCACAAAACACATGACACACCCTGGCATTCCAGCTGTGCAGTACCTGTGACGGGCATGTCTGCAAGCAACAAGGGCAGCACGAATGTCATCAGTCCTGAACTGTATCAATGGACAATTGTATGACTTCATACCTGTCCCTCTCCTGCTTCATGGTTTCCACTTTGTGTTGGTCGAAGATCGCTGCCCTGGCCTCCATCCCCCCATGTGTTCCCCCCGTTATCATTCCAGACCTGTCAATCAGTTACTCAGTCTTCAAGGCCCAAATCACACGACAGTTCACTATCAAAGACCCTGAGCTTGCAGTGTTGTGAAATGCAGCACATCTCACAAGTGCTTCAAAGCAGTTTCTGTCTATACCAGCACCCTACAGACCCCAACAATTTGAGCTTGCCATGGTTGATGGCTGTGCCATGTCGGTGGGAAGCAAATCTCAGTGATATACAAACTAACTTTTTGTTGGATTCTGCCTTCAAGCTGTGGCTTATGGAAATTGCACATTGGGCGTTCTCAGCATTGACTTATGCTTCTCATCTCCTTGTTGTGCAAGGGCAATGTTGTGCCATTCTCAAAGAATGCAATCAGAGGAATGTGCAAGGCCTTGAGGAACAGTGTTTATCTCCATATCGGCACACCACCAAGGGGCAAGCAGGGCAGCTCACAGTAAAAAAGTGGTTCCGCTTGCCAGCACCCGAAGCCCCACACCTGTCAATAAGGGTGCCATCCAGCGTCACAACCTTTAGCCGCTCCTCGCCTCCAAATGCCAGCCGCTTAGCCTCTTCAACTGTATCGCAAACTACGGTGTTCCCGCAAGCATACAGCAATCCCCTCTGGTAGGCGGGCTCGAACTGCAGCAAGTCGATCGCAAGTTTTGCTGTCCCCCCAAGTTGTCTCAGGCTCTCGTTGAGTGGTTTGAGATTGAGGTTGTCCAATGGAAGGAAGGTCATGGGGGGTATCCTGTGCTCCTTCAGGTGCCGGATGCACTCCTTGGCAGTGTCTTTTGTGTTCACCAGCACACAGTCCATGTGCTTGCCCATCGTGACAGCCATTGCCATGTTGTACTTCCTATGGGTCACCTTGCGGCCACCAGAACAACAGTTTAGGCAAGGAATGAAACCAAGCCACAGCACGTCAAAACTAGTCAGAACTTCAACACCAATTTGTTGGAACAACACATGTGCACACCCAACAATATATGGGCAAGAACTTGGCATTCCTTGACACATGAAATCAATGTGGATTTCCTCTGAAACACAGTTGTGGAAGATGGCAGTTTTGTTGGGACAACCTTGGGCTTCCAAACAGCAACTGACAATGCCCATCACATTGACAGCATATTGACAGCAATGTCGGAATGTGAAGAAAGGGGAGGTGGCAGTGGAATGGGATGGGTGAAAAGGCAATGATTTGTCAGCTTCTGAGAAATGCACTCAACGCAGATATCCTCTGGGTAGCCTTGATGAAATGATTCTCAACAGTTCTTGCTCAAGAGATATTTTCCCGTGGTACGCCCGTTTACCCTTCTTCCAAAGAGATCATCTTTACCTTGCTCAGCTCGTTCAGGCTACCATACACTCCAGGGATGAGGCCTTTCATTGTCTCTACAGCATCGACCCGCTGCCGCTCCCGCTCACTGAACTTCTTTGTAACCTTCAGCTCATGCAGCTCCTCCTGGAGCTCGTCCACCTTGGGCGCAGCAAAAACAGTCCTCGTCAGAGCACAACAAGCACATGTTAACCACTGTACTCTGCAGTTAACCAATCCACAAGGGGGGGAGCGTGCAAGGACATGCTGCAGCTTGCAGATGGGAAAATCCACACAGCATCTTCGTCTAGAGGCGCTGGTCCACAGGTGGCGTGTGGATCCAGTCCTAAAATCCTTTGTTGACAAATGTGCTGGTGAAGCAGAACAGGCAACAAACTGTTGCAATATTCACATGTGCAATTAACACATTCCAGAAGTCTGCAGCCATCAACACATTGAGCACCAGGTGTCCATCGATCAATGCAAACAATTTTAAATCCATCCAAATCATCAACCTTGTGGAGCAGGTGCTCCTTCCTTGCTGCCTGCCTCCGGGCGGCCTCCCCCATTTCAGATTTATCTTGTCGCTTCCGCTCCAGCGTGGACCGCACCGTCTCCACCTCAATGGACATCTGCTCCCTGCTGCGCTCCAGCTGGTCCTTTTGCTCGCGCAGCAGCCCCACCTGGCCCTCCAGCTGCTGTGCCTCGTCCTCCAGTTCTGCCAATGGCAGCCTCTCTGCCTCTTGTTGCTGCTGTAGCACCTGCTTGTCAGCCTGCAGCTTAGCTGTCTTGGCCCCCACCTCGTTCTTAATCCTGTAGTACTCCTGCAGGTCCGCCTCATCCATCTCCAGGCTCCTGGCCCCAGCCCCAGACGCCCCCCGCCGCTCCTCCTGGCGCTGCTTCACATCCTCCAGCTCCTCCTCCAGCCTGAGGGAGACATGCTGTGACGGTGGCGCACATGTACAGGGAGATATGGGACATATGATGTACTGACATGGCAGATCTGGTGGCAGTGAATAACAGGCCAGGATAACGATCTGGTGTCCCGCATGGTATTGCATATACGATGTACAATGAAACATGTAGGTCTTTGCAGTCTGGCTCTGGTGCCTGGTTGGGGTCATAGCCAGGCGTGTGCCAAGGCCCTTACCAGCGCTACCATTACCAAACAGGTCATGGTGTCAACTGCATGCAGTGCATGGCTAGATCCATAGGCCCTGCCTGAAGATTTTAAATCCCAACTCTTCTCAGGGTTATCTGGATTTGGCAATGCACCTAAATCAACACATGTTCTCAAGGAAACAGGCAGATGGAGCTAATGCCAACCATGGCCAAAAAGACAACACCTATTTGTCCTGCTTGCAACTGATCGATTAATGCAGACTTTGTTTCAACCTGTGTATCTTCTCCTCCTTCTCTTTCAGGCTTGCACTCTTCTCCTCGATCTCTTTCCCTGCAGCCTTGATGCGCCGGTTCACCCGAACAATCTCCTCCTGGATCTGTATCAGCCCTGGTCGGCCCTTGTCCGCCTCTGCCTGCAGTTTCTTCACTCGCCGATCAGCCGCAAGCCGCTCCCTGTTGTGTGACACATACTCCACCTCCTTCTCCTTTATGGCTTCGTCTACACCCGCCGCTTCCTCACTTGCACGCCCCGCCTCCTCCTCCAGCTTCTTTATCCCTTCCATTGCCTCCTCTATGTCCTTGTCCAGATGGTACACCTCCCAGATGCAGCGCTGCGCCTTGAACATGCGCAGCTCCTCCAACAGCTTCATGTGCTGCTCAGCCTCCTGCTTCTGCACCTTCTTCTGCCGCTTCTCGGATGACGTCGCCTTCTTTTTGGTAAAAATGAGGCTCATCTTATCCTCGGCCTGGTTCTTCCTGGCAGCCAGCTCATTGTACTCTTCGGCCATGGCGGCAGACCCCGAGATCGTCTCAAACCAATTGGTCAGATCCTTTGGGGCCATCGCTGCCACTGACTCGATGTCGCCCTGGAACACCAGGAAGTTCCTGGCCTTCACCAGGATCCTGAAGGACTCCAACTTGCCGTTGTAGGAGACCCAGTCCACCGTACGCCCGTCGATCTTGTAACGGGAATGGAAACGAGTCTCTGGGCCAGCACCTGTGACCAGAAGATGATGGTTCACAATGTTTGAATGGGAGTGAATCGCATACTACAAGCAGTATAAAATTTTGTTATGAGGAAGATATGGAACCAGCAGCTTGTTGCACGCGTGTGCTTGTTGCACACGTCATGCAAGGGACAGGCCCTGCTCTTTGTGTCTCTGTCTGAGGATGTTTTCCACTGCAGAACATCACGCAGGTCTCTGAGCGCACCAAGAAAAAGCATGCACAGGTCGTACAGTGAAATAGAGCAGCAAATGTTTTAGTGAAGACTCAGAATCTATATGGACGGGTGCCCCAATTTCTAGAAAACAGAGTTCATCCTAGGCATCACTGGTGATTCCAACATCGTGGGTGTATCATTCATCAACAGGAACTGACGAGTAATACACAATAGGCCTACACAATAGGCCAACTCCCTTGGAGAATTTGTTGGGATGTGCCCTGCACAGGAAGAGTGGACTTCTTTAGGGGTGCGCTTGGAAAGCACGCAGCTGCTAGAGATGTGAAGAACAATGGAGTTCGCATTCTGTATGGAGGCTGTGGTCCTCCTGATGGTCCTCCTGAGGATTGGCGATGCGCTGCAACAGCGAATAAATACTTCCATACAATTTTCCGCCCTGTAAGAGCTTGCGCAGAGGTCCCGCGCGCCATGCGTAGACGTCTCTGGAGTGCACGAGGAGGTACACACGACGCGCAACCGATTGCATGGCAGGACACACGTGGTCAGGGTGCCTGCGATCACACCTGACGATGCAAAGGCCCTCTTGAACAGGACTTGGCCACTGTCCGGCGAGAAGCAAAAGAATTTCGAGGCATTTGCGTGCTGTGAAAGGATTTGAAGAGCACCCCGCAGAGACGCAATTGATCCCACATCAGGAGACGTGCACCCGGAGCGCCCGCGACCCCACCTGAAGACACGATGGCCCTCTCAAAGGTGACCTGGCCGCCGTCGGGCGTGAGGAACACGAGCCTGACGAATCCCTCGGTGGTGCGCGCCCCGCTCTTCGCCGCGGTGTGCAGCAGCTCCCCCAGGGATCCGCGCAGCTGGGCCGTGCGCACGCCCAGCACGAAGCTGATCGCGTCCATCAGGTTCGACTTCCCGGAGCCATTGGGGCCCACGATCGAGACGAAGCGTTTGAAGGGGCCGATCGTGTGCGTGCCGCGGTAGGACTTGAAGTTCTGAACCACCAGCCGGTCGATCCAGCCGTGTTCAGGGATCGGCTCCTCGCCGTTGTTGTCGCCGCCCTCCGGGCCCGCCATTTTGGCGCGGCGTCTGGGGCAGCGGCGGCCAGGGCGAGGCGACCGGAGGGCGCGAAGCCTGTGGGCAGTGGAGGGATTGCCGGCCAAATAGGCCAGTTGGGGCTTTGTCAGGGGTGCCAGAAACCCTCCGGTGGCAGCCAAGCCCACTAACCGCGCTCATGCGCACTAATGGGAGAGCCACAGTTTAGTTTGATGGCCAAATGCTGTTGAGACGCTAGGCTCGGAGTGGGACTATATCGGAGGCAGGCACAGCCACGGGCTTGGGGACACAGCTGAGGGTACAGAGTTACAGATAGGTCACGGACAGGCATGTCCCTTTATAGTCATACAACCATCTCTCAACGACGGACGAGTCATTGTCATATCATTCGCCCCCAACACACATAGAACGTCGCCCTCGACGTGTAATCACCTCAACCAAACGAACCAAGGGAACCAGGAAACTGGTAGAAACCATCATCAAGAAGTCATTCAAAACTTCAGACACTTGGCCAGCCGTCATGTGCGGGGGCCTTGAACACGAACACAAACCCATCACAAAGGAACATATCGAGAATCAGAGCATCAGCTCAAGAATCCATCAAACACTTGGCCAGCCGTCATGCGGGGCCTTGAACACGAACACGAAAACCGGTCTCAAAGAAACACATCAAGAGCCAGAGCATCGGCTCAAGAATCCATGGAAAGAAATCAGATTCGGAAAGGAACCATCAAACTCAAGAGCAACACGTCTTGGCGAACCTCGCCACCTCCATGGGGCATCTCAACAACTCGACCTAAGCTGACCCATCGGCGCTCGGTGCGCGCCCCCAACAACAGAGACAATGCTATGCCCAGTGCATTGGAATTGCCACGTGGGCCTCGCTCATGCTGTGCCACGTACTCACTTGACACGGCAGTAACCCTCGACCCCGTACCAGTGTGACGGGTCTCTATGTAGGACCACACTGTCAGCTGGCACGAGCTGACACGAGCCGTCGTCCTGCTGACTCTTCATCACGCAACCCTTTCTGCGGGGCCGTGCGTGCTGTGTGCCAAGCACGTGATCTCTCAAACACAGCCATCCACTCAAGTTACCACTTCCGACCAATGGCGTGGCTCACACTCGCCCATCACCGCTCAGTGGTGCCGTGTTGGCCTCCATCGCAACTCTGCCATCGTAACTCCAGCGAACGCACAGCCGCGGCGTTGACAGAACTGACCCGCGCGTCGTCCACCGCCCTCAATCATGCCTTCGTTGCGCTCGCCTCAGCTCTCGCGCGACCGCTCCATGTCCATCGCTGGACGCTATTCATCACGTCGCCACTCCCACGCACCACAGCATGAGGCGGCACAATGCTCGCGCGCGTCTCGGCGTCATACCATGCCACGCAGCTGCATAGTCCTGCAATCCCACCCCTGCCTCGGGTGCCACATGAGACGCTAGGCTCGGAGTGGGACTATATCGGAGGCAGGCACAGCCACGGGCTTGGGGACACAGCTGAGGGTACAGAGTTACAGATAGGTCACGGACAGGCATGTCCCTTTATAGTCATACAGCCATCTCTCAACGACGGACGAGTCATTGTCATATCACTGTTATCTGAAGGCGCGGAGACAAGGAACGATGTCTGTTGCGCACTTCCATGAATTTCAGTTGTCGGAACAGCCACGACAATTCACATTTAATACGCAACAATGGTCTGTGGTAATTTTTGAATCGGATTGACAAAGCCCTTGGAGCTTGCAGGTGATGTTCGGCCGCACCAATTATCAACCAATGTTTACCCAACGTGCCATCCTCATGGCACTGCCGTGTCGACCAGCTGTTGGGTGGGGTGGCGGTACTTTAAGCACCCACCTAATAAGCGGCACTTTAAGTCCACTTATTAAGTGGACTACCCTTCTTGCCCCTGGCCGGGTGGTTTGGTAGAGCACTGGGACATTCCATCCAGAGGTAGCCTGTTCGATCCATGTTCAGACATCCTCTTTGCCATCCGCCCTTCAACACCAGCCTCGCATCCCTTCTCGGTGGTCGTCAGTCTACTGACAAGCACAGCACCCCAATCCGATTCAAGCTCCGATTGTACGGGCACGATCCCGCTTGCCAACGCATGCACCCCACAACTTGCCCTCTCTTGCAATACACCTGCCCGGTCCCTGCCCTTTCTCCAGGATGACGACCCTGGGAGGGACCTCTCCCACGAGGGCCATGGCCGCCTCCCTGCCCCCCCCGTCCCCACTGCACCGCCGATATCACGCGATCGACGGCCCCCCGTTTCCATTCCATCAGCAATGGGTACGCCAGCCACGGGGCTCCCTCTCACGCCCAGCGGCCCCGGTACCTTGCCTGGCCGGTGAGAGGCGGGATGCCAACGTCGGCCGCTGCCGCAAGCTGGCTGGGATGAATCGGATCCGCGCGCGGGGCGGAGGGGCCGTCGTGTCGTGGCCGTCGGCGGCGATGCGGAGTCGCGTGCGGAGAGGCGCGGTGGCTATTGGCGCGGCATGCGCCCCGGTGGGTGCCTTGAATTTGGAAACGGCGGGCAGCAGCTCGCAAGGTCAGCGTGGTCCCCTATGAAGGCTGATCTTCCGCAATGTGTTTCACCAATGGTTGACCTCGCTGCCAGTGCAAGTTAGCGCATTGGGGCGGTTGGGAATTGCTATCTTTGGTGTCATGTCATGATGCCACCCATTTGGAATGTTGGCAGCATTTTGGCGCATGCCATCAAAGAAGGACTTAGGAAAACAGTGGGCCACAGATAGCAGCAACCGCCCTTGAAGATGATGCCATCAGGACTTGATATTCAACCAAGACGCGAGAAAGCATGAATAATTAAATAAGCAAGAGCATGGCGAGTGCCTTGCCATGAATACTACTCCCAGTTCTACCAGGGAGTCTCTAACCTATGCCACCTCAGTGGTCAGGTCTTGCCCAAATCTGCACTTTTGGCATTTGCTGGCGATGAGGATATGTGCCCTTGACCCAATAAATGATTTGGACACACAGAGATCTCTAGGCATGCCACTACATCACAAACGCGAACAGAGAAAACCTTGTGAACGGTGGACCACGCTTGTTGTGTGGTGGCGCAGTACAGGTGCATGACGTTGGGCTTGTTAATGCCATGGGCTTCGAAGCTGTGGGCCTGTGTTGAGATCAACCACCATGGGATACAGATGTACCATGGACAACAACTATATCAAGTTTGCATGACTGTATTGTTGCACCTTGCCAAGAAATATCACAATTGTAACGTTCACTCTATTCCGCCCCGCCCCATGGCACCACGTCTGTCAGCAACTCACAGGTGAAAAGGCGGTGCTCAGTCTTGTAATATGCAATCAATTGGAATTTACGCTTCTCATTGCATCCTGCTCTCCATTCTGTTGTCCATGCACTCCTCTCCCCAAGACTGCGTTCTTCTGCTTTATTTTGATGTCCCGGATGCTTCCAACTGAACCTGTCCAGTTGTGTGGTGCTCAGTCTTGTAATATGCAATCAATTGGAATTTACGCTTCTCATTGCATCCTGCTCTCCATTCTGTTGTCCTTGCGCTCCTCTCCCCAAGACTGCGTTCTTCTGCTTTATTTTGATGTCCCGGATGCTTCCAACTGAACCTGTCCAGTTGTGTGGTGCTCAGCGGCACACTGAGGCTGCCAGCAGTGGAGGGAGAATGTCGCCCACGGCTTCCAGAGCTGCGGCCGCTGGTTCCAAGCTCATCTGCACAGGCTCATCATCGTCGTAAGTGTCCTCAAATCCACTGCAGAAATGTCATGGCTTGCTTCCATCAAGCTTGACAACTGGCTGCCCATTTGGTTAGACCGCGATTTGTGTTGGCACTTGATAGTGTTATACAGTACATGCAGCAACGTAAGTCCCTGTGGTGTTCTGTGATGATAGGTTCCTCGGTGGTTCTACACTTGATACCCACAGCTCCCGCTGCGTAGCAGTTGGCTTTGGCCCAGGCTTTGGCATGGGGTATGGTTATGGATATGGTTATGGCTACCCGATGGGAGGGTTTGGAGGGGGCGGCTTTCTCAGCCTGCTGGTCTTTGGCCTGATAGCTTATGCGGCCCTGCAGGTGAGCATTGTCTTTTTGGCAAAGAAAAACCCGTCGGCCAATCAGCAAATGCCCTTTTGCGCTTTGTGGAACATTGTGCAGAAGTCTTCCAGTGGAACAGGAGTGGGCGCAATATAGAGTGTAGCATGAATGGCTGGTCTGTGACCACAGTGTTCTCAGATTGTACGTGTGTGTAATTTGCTTTATTTTGTGCCCCATGTCCACAGAGATGTATGTTTGATGTTTAAGTTTTGGACATAAATATCAGTTTGACTCAAGAATGATGCTAGCAGTTATGTCGTGGAAACCCAAGCGATTGGCAGATGTTTACATTCATGATTAAAACTTAACATCTGCCCAGATGCCTGTTGCGATGCCATTGTTGCCACAGCTCGCACTGATCTAGCAGCAGAATTCGCCGATTCTTTACTGCAGAATTATGCCATCATAAGCATCTGAAGTCCCGGCAATTCTTCACAGAATTTATACAGGGTCAGCTTCATGAAATTGTCATAAAACTCTACAGGATTCACCTAGTTATGGAGCCATGAATTCACAGAAGCACAACAAATTAGGGGTATGATTCAAGGAAATCATTACGCTTGCCAGATCTTTTGTTCACAAACTGCCCAGCAGACCACTACGTTCGCATTTCGAAGTTCCAATGTATTGCAGACATTTCTGCTTTGCGTTTTCAAAATTCGATCGTGGATTTACATTGACTCCATAGTTGATTGACTAGTGCCCTGTTGCGCAACCAAAGCATGCAGAGGCTTTTGTGTCATCATTTATACTGTGGAAAGGGGTCTGGAAATATGACAGGACTTTGAACAAAGAGGCTTACATCATATTTCTCATGGCCAGAGTCTGCCAATGTGTGACTTACATTATTCTTTTGAAGCCATGGTTTAACTCTAAAAGTTTGGTTCATCTTGGAGATTGGCACAGAAACAATTATGAGATGGTAATTCCCGTAGTATATCACCAACGTGCAGGCCATTTGCTTGCATTTCTCCTGTTGGAGAAGAGGCTGCAAGGCGTCAAAAGGCTAGTTGCAGATGTATTGGTGGCAAACCAGTAGCATCACATAATTAATATGCAATACTGCATTTTCATTATCAATTTCATGTACAATTCTTTGGCTGTTGTTTACCTGCACCGCCTTGAAGGTGACTAGGCCACAATTGGTGGGCTTGGGAGGTGTGATGTGAGCAATGCAATGGAATGCCTCTGGCGTTAAGGTGTCTTGGCCCCCTGCAGGTGTTGTCCAAACAGGAAGGTGGCATTGGTGGCGATGACGGCGGATACATAGGCAGCGAGAGGGTTGCTGTGGGCAGGGTGCAGGTGGGCCTGCTGGGCTCGGCCAGGGGACTGCAGAGGGACTTGACACGGATTGCAAAGAGGGCAGACACGTCTGACGTGGCAGGGCTGCAGTACATTCTGCAAGGTTTGTGAGGCTTTCTGACGTCAATCATTTCCGGATATGAAGGTCATGAAGAGGTCATGAAGGTGTCATGAAGGGTACGAGGGTCTCAAAGGCCAAAACACAATACCATGGAAAACAAGAAAAACAAGGAAAAGTAGAAAATGGCCTTCATGACCTTCATGTCTGGGCATGGGACAATTGCCATGTCTGCGTGCGTGTGTGAGGCGTTAGCCTTGCCTTTGATGCGGTTGTGGGCAATGATTGTCTCTGTTGACTTCCTCTGTTGTTTCAGGTCTCATTGGATCATGTGTTTGACAAAAATGCAATGGCAAAAGATGGCCTCATCTCCTTGTGTGAAACTGCCATTCACCATCCCAGACCGTAAAATGAGCCCCCCAACCATTTGCATCACAGCACGAGTGCATGATTCGAGTAGCTTGACATTGCATATCAAGATAGATAGAGCAACGTGAATTGTCATCGAGCTGCCATTATGAACTAGTGGCGGTTGAGCTTTTTGTGATTTGTTTTTAATGATATCACTACGTTGCTTTTCAGAGACCGTCCTGGCCCTCAATAGGAATCCGGACTACTGGGTGTATGGGGCATCGAGCCTGAAGAATACAAGGGACAACATGGCGGCTGAGCAGCGCCTGAACGAATGGTCCCTGCAGGAGAGGAGCAAATTCAAAGAGGAGACGCTGTCAAATGTTGGCGGTCGCACCAGGCAAGCTGCCTCAGCCTCACCAGGTATGTATTGTTGCTGTTGACAGATGCACTCTGTGTTCACGGATGCTCAACACTAAATGGGGAAACAGCACCAAATGTATAGATTGGAAAGCCATCAAATAGCGTTGTGTGCTCGCATCATTCCGGTAAATCTCAAATACTTGTGTATCCTGTAATTTCTCCCTCTAAGTGAGGCACGCGCTGTCAGGTGTAAGTAAGTGCACCATTCTGAGGTCTTGATTGCTTGTGTTTATTTCTGGATATTCCACAGCCGCTCTCCTCGACCGAGCTGATACTGGTGATGTGCTCGTGCTGAGTTATTGCACACACCCAATCTCAATGCATGCTTACTCTTTGGGGACGAGATTATTGTGAACACAGTAGTTGTCAAAACGAGATCATCAACGGTCCAAACACAGTAAGACAGTGTGGACGAAGCAGCTCCAAAATGACAATGGAGTAAATATCAATGGAAAAGAATAATGCGAATATGTTAATCCGGAAAATTGCATTCCAGCGGGTTGCCTGCTGTTTCCCCTTGAGCAGAATGACTGTGGGAGATTTTTGACTGCGATCCTTAAACGACAGCCATGTTAAGGTTTCGTGCATGAAACGGTGACTGAGTGATTGTTGATACAGGCTCGTTTGGCTGTTTGTCACTGTCCAGGTGAGGGGCTGAACGAATTGATCGTTGTCACGATCCTGGTGGCTGTGGGTGGAGGTATGAAACTGCCTAGAGTCACGTCGCGCGAAGAGCTCAGGACGGCGCTCAACAGGCTTGGGGCCATCGACACTCAGTCGCTCATGGCTGTGGAGGTGCTGTGGACACCACAAGATGAAAGGGATGCATACACACAGGACGAGCTCTTGGCGGACTATCCATCCATGTACACACTGTGACCTGCCACTGATTATCTTGATGCGATGTGCCATCATCCATTTTGTCGATCTGGCGATGCTGACCAATGTCAACGTCCTATTGGTCGCTGTGGGTCCCCTGTTGCCGACTTGAGGTTTGGGTGGTGGAGTTTTAGTGATTTTGAACCGTTGGGATCTATTTTATAAACAGTTTTGCATCTTCAATGTGATGTGCGACGAAGCCGTATGTTCTGTGCACCAGCGACTGCGTTCAGGCTACGATTTGGTGGCCAGGAACCTTTCAAGAGAATTTTTGGCTGTTGAACAGGACATAAACGCGGTTGGAAACTCTGTAAAATGAGCTAGTTTTGCCAGCTGAAGCACAACATAACGTGCAGCACGATTATTTGATCAAGTAACGGATTGCGTGCTGGGCTCAGACGCGACTGCCTGCTGCAGTGCACTACACCAGTCATCAGCTGTAACAATAATATTCTGCTGGCATCGATTAATCACTTTGGTCGATGATAACTGCCATCCAGAAGTGTAATCAAATGTACTTCAAGTAGTTGTTGATTTGCATGAATGGCTGTATTATTTGAGACAATAGGGGGGCCAAGATGAGCGCATATCCTGTGAAAACACATATTTTGTGCAAGTGCACTAGTCGAGTGACGGGGATGGAAACAGTGGTGCATCTTCTGGCAAAACACTGTGGCGTCGCGATGCCTGGAATGGTGCCACTAGGATTGATGCTTGAGATCATACTGCCTTCAGAGTCGATCTCGATTCCTTGACTACATTTCCTGTTCAATCAACCAAAAAAGCTGCACATGAAGGCAGAAAGCTAGTCCTCACACCTCTGTTTGGCTCGATGAAAGCACTGCCAATGATTCGCTGAACGAGCTCAGTGAAGAACAGGGATTGTTGCAGCCCAAGTTTGTGTGGTGTCTGTTCCATTTCAATTTCAGATCGAACTCGACTTCTGCATCTAGGCCTCGACCCAACTAGCCTCACCCTATGCGACTTGCAGAGCAAACCTCAGGCAGATAGAGCCTCCAGAAGCTCTACCTGCAGGATCTCTCAGCCCATGAGCGCTGCCACGTGGTGCTTCTCCAAGAGTGAGTTTCTCCGCCATGTCCATGATCGCTGAGGCGGTGGCCAAGCGTCACCAATGCTAATCAGAAATCATTCAGGTCCGGGCGACTGTAATCACCCACAGCCCTGTGCAAATTTTGGGGGTGATGGACATCTCAGTGCACACTGCTTAGCTGAGCAGCATCTGCACGTGAGCAAAGTGACACATGTAGCACATTTGACAAGGGCCTGGCATGCAATGTCCATTTGTGTAATTCCCATCTGTGCTTAAACCCTTGTGTTGGAGCCATGCCTTGGAGGAAGCCTTCACTTGTGTTCCTGTTGGCAGCTGACTGTTTTTAATTGCCAAGAATCAAGTGACCTACGATAGAAACAAGGATAGGTAGAAGGCAAGTACATGCTATGAAATAAGTATGAATGTGTAGAATATTTTGATTGGGAACAGCGTACCTGGACAATAGTTGAGTTTTCCACTGCACACCTTTTTCTCGACTACTATAGATAAACCAGCAACATGCATCAGTGACGTCACACAGACACATGGCAGATTCCATGTGGTGTACAAACTGTGTTTGGGCTGTCTCGGCAGCAGTGCTCAGGAGGCCACTTGACCTTTATAGAATGGAGTTCCTAAACCCTTGGGGCCCTCCCTGCAACATTGATCCCGATGTGGCGCGAAAAACATCGGCGCTTGAATGTGTGGATTGACCTGGCGGACATGGCGACGGTGTCAAGGTTGCCAATCAGGTCGATCGCAAGCGGAGAACGCGACGTGGGCAACGCTGTTGGTCATGCATGGACAGTCTCAATTGTGACGACAACGATTCTGCACAGGCGATGTGTGCACAAAGCTCGGGCTTCGGTGAAGGATTTGGACTCGTCTATGCTGAGTGCAACGCCAAAGTTCAACCGTGGGATGGCCAGCCACAGTCAAGGCGTTGCGATTCAGAGGAGCGACTGAGCTGTTTGGCACAGAGAGGTGTAAAGGGGCATCAGGGGATCAATGGACTGAGCTCTGAAAACGCGGCCGATTCATGCTGGCGGATTTGGCGGGCTGTGCTGCAGGCACAGCCCATGTTTTGTGTAGTGCGCTGTTTCTGCCATGTTTGGTGCGTGTTTCTGTCGCTCTGGATGCATGTGGATCTCTGAGCCTGGTGCCAGCACATGCCTATTTTCGCCCCGATTTTTGCAGCACCGCGACCTCAGCATGGCTTCCGCGAGCACGGCATCCTTCCTCAGCGTGGCTTTCACGGCAGCGCCGGACAGATACCGCTTTGTGGAGCACCAAAAAACGCCTCTCGGAACGGAGCAATATTGGAAAATGGACTGAAGAAGCACTACCAGTTTCCGGACCACGAGTTTCCCGACCTCAAGGACCCACCCAAACGGGATCGAGGCTGCCACGCGTCCAACGCCCGCCCATCACACATCCACCCTCGCCCTCCCCCGCCCTGCCACACTCTCCCCCACCTCCCCCAGTTAAACGAAACCTTGCTGCCACGCGCCACCAGCCCCTCCGCACCCCCCCGCCCTCCTCCCGGATGGGTCTGGCGGCCACCTCCGCCGGCTTTGGCCGCGCGCCGCAGCAGCGCCCATGCCCATCGATGCATCCACCCGCGTGCCCGGCGCCAGGGCGGGGCGGCCGGCCCGTGGCGCCGCTGCGCGCTGCGCCAGACGCGCCGGGGATGGACGACGCGCGGCGGGGGCTGGACAGGATGATGGAGGCGCCGGGGATCTCGGGGCGGGAGCTGAGGCAGCTGGTGTATGACAAGTGGGGGCGGTCGTACGACGTGCGGATCCACAAGCGGGGCCCCAGGACGTATCTCCAGGTGGGGGGTGCAGATGGTTTGGTAGAAAGATAAAATGCGGCCTGAACATGGGCCCGCCAAAAATTTGCCCGCGTAAAGTTGGTCGCACGGGGGGGTAGATGGTCTGGTAGAAAAGGGGAAAGCGGGGCTTAAAGTCGGCCCGCCTAAACCTGGCCCGCATGGAGTTGGCCGGCGCCCCCGGGAGGGAGAATTTGTAAGACGACGCGCCCGGGGCTGGGCGTTCGAAGCCTTCTGGATTAATTTTGTAGGAATGAGGCGCTGGCTTGTGCCCGGTGGGCGTTGTCGAGAGGTGTTCGCGTCCGCAGGTGCCTGCGCCCCTTTGCAATGGTGTTTGTTGCTCCCTTTCACTATCGGGCAGCCGTGGGCGACCTTGCCTGGCACGCCATCCGTAATGCTTTCTTGCTCGGCCTGTGCATGCTGCACGTGGAGATACCGGTGTAATCTTTAAGCCTAATACAAGACCAGTGAAGATCCCATGAAGACAATTGCTCAGGAGGTGTTGATGCCAAGCGAATGAGATTTCCACAGCAGTTTTTGCCCGAAGATTTGGAACTGATGCAATTGTGTGCTTAGACACAATGTGACAGGCGCGCTTTAGCTAAGTCCCTTGTGTTATGTTCGCTTCTGCAAAACACGAAGGGGCCATTGCATTTTCCAGGTGATCATGGGAGTGTTATCGCCCAACATGTTTGTTCACGTATCGCCAAGTGTGTGCACATTGACAGCAGGGGTGTAAAGTGCAGGGTAACTTGGAGAGTGACTTAACGTTTCAGGGCTTGCTTTGCATAATTGAACGTCTGTTACAAGTCATATTGGTACCGCACAATTTGGTAATGTGCCAGTCCTTTCGCACAGTGTTGGTAGCATTGTATTCTGGTGATCGCATTCGTTTTGCTGCACAAGGTGAAACCCAGTCAATTGCCTCCCCACCTTAAATCTGGCGAGAATAGACACAGAATTGTTGAGCGCCTCAAACCAGTTGTTCCTTGCTCTGAAGGAACCAAGAAAAAGACAATGGCCTCAAAACAACTCTTACAAAGATGACTGTGGTCAGCATCCAGCAAGTGCTCATCTTGCAGCTGCAAGAAACGCATGTGTCTTAGAATTGCAGTCCACAAATACAAGATGTTGCTCCTTCCCAACACCATCAACAGTGTGTAATACTTTGTCTGGAGCTGCCGCAAAATATTCACTGACAATGCCTGAGACCTTGATGCTATCGTTGAACAATGTAATAACTGCACTGCTTATCAACTGCTGTGTTAGTTCCACAGCACAGCCATACACAAGCATAGGGAAAGAGCAAATTGCTTGTTGATTACAACATGCTCATACTGCCTGGCTTTGTTGTTCTTTGTGAATTGGATACTTAGTGCAAGAACACAACAATAGAGCCTTCCTGGATGCGAAGTTTGAAAACTTCCATTGCTGATGCCTTGTCCAGAATTCGACCAGAAGCATGTTCCATTAGAGTTGCAATATGGCAATTGTGTTCAACACAGTGCTTTTTTGCTTTCTTTGCACAATTTACAATTCCTGGGTTGCCAATTGCCCAATGTTGCACATGTCCTGCAGAACAGCAGACTGTGTTGTGCACGTGCTCTCAATGTTGTCATTCTGATGTGCGTGAGAGTTCTGAAACCTGTGCCATTTTCTGAAACATGTTTGTATTTCCTGCAATTCCAAACATGTCCACAGCTTACCATCTACTCACTGAACACGACTAGGGTTGTCCACTTGCAAACAAAAGCACAGACCAGCATTGGAATGGGAAGTGTGTTAGTCATGCTGTGCACACATCATCGCCAATGGTCTTGGTTTGCAACATGCATTCTCGGGCATTCCAAAGGTACATCTGACCTGCATACCTCGCATGCAGGTGATGTGGAAGTATCTGGAGCAGCAGAGCTTTCCACTGACAGAGGCGGAGTACCAGGAACAGCTGGACGCTGTGGCATATGTGTTGACGGAGTGGGGTGCCGCCAGCACAGTGCGGCAGGGCATAGCGGCAGCCAGGCGGTCGGGCCCAGGCTACACAGGTGGGGGAGGTGCAAAGGCAGTGGCCATTCCATTGGCAGTGGACCTGGAGGGTGAGCGGGGGGCTGAGTGGGGAATGTGAACCCAGTGGCAGAATTTGGAAAGTGGGCATTGCATTCGTCAGAGGTTTGGATTCGCATGAGGGTGGTGGTGGAATCTTCGTTTAGATTCCTTGGTTCCTTGGGTGCCATGGTTGCATATGTGTTGTTCAGTACTGCTGTCTGATGATAGAGATCCTTTGGGCTTTGGTCTTTGCCCATGCACCTCGAAACGACACAAGCGGCGTTCTGTGGGTTTTGGGCACTGGCTGTTGGCGCCCCTTTGTTCTTTCCTGCTTGTTGGCCATCGGCAGGCAGTGTGTGTACTGACGTCGAGCTGTTGGGGAAAGCGCAGTCTGCTGAAGTTGTCGCTGTCCCGGCGGGACACGAAGGCCAGATGCTAGGGATATCCATTTGTACATGTCGGGAATGTTTGCTCTGGCTACAATTACGTTGGGAGTGTACTTTATGTTTGAGAAGATTCACTTTCGTGCAGTCAGTGCTATGGTTCGTAAACGGCGCATGTGTGTGTGCACGTCCTTGCGATTGTGCGAACTCACTCCTCCAATGCCTCAAATCACGGTGCATTCAAGCTTGCGGGAAGTTTCAAAAGACACCCTACACCTCCAAGGCGTGCGCCCCTGGGCTGTGTCCTGGTTCAAGCATGGTGGAAGCACGATCATCTTCGCAGCTTGTGTTGTACCATCTGTACGCAACTTGTGTGGTCCCATGGTACTGCTGAAATCTGTTATCGCAAATTGATGTGAATTGAAACATGCGCCTCGGGCAAGCAACCTGACGGCAACCTCTGGGCCGTGGAAGTCTGCCTCACATGTTGATATTGATTAATGGCATTGATCAATCACAGCATTGATTGAATGCTGTAACTACATTGCGCCCACAGACCAAAACATTGCCGCGCGCCTGGGTTGTACTTCGGAAGTGATAGGATATTCTTTAATGGAGCTTAGATGCATCGCTAATCGACCGTTTGAACCGAATTGGAGAAAACAGCCGGGACTGTACAGTGTAGACGTGTGTGCTCTGAACTATTCTCGATGCCGGGGCTTCTATAGGAGCGAATTTCTGGCGGTGGTGGCAACCCACGCAGATAATTGCTTTCGTTGGCATAGAGCAAGGCTCACAAGATAACATCCCACACACAGCATTGCAAGCAGCTTTTCTTTTGCTTGGCTGAACCAGATGACGGGCAATTGCCTGCACGATACGCCCTCAAGTCTGATTCCGGCACACAGCCAAAAAGGCATTTCCGGTGCCGACGAATCTGTTCATGCAAACAGTATGGCTGCCTGAAAAACGCCGTCTGAATGGGCAATTGTGAATACCTTCGCCACTGGAAGGAACTGCGGAAACATGGGAACGGCGGGGCCTGAAGAGGGAGTTGCCAACGAAGGCACAAATGCATAGGATTCACAAGCGGAAGACAGTCGCCTGACAGTGGGTCCCTAAAACAGACGTGGAACAACAAATGTGTAGTGGTGCCGTGCGCCCGTGATCAAAACGGCTGTTGATAGTCATGTATGGCGAGCGAAACGACAAGCCTTCCATCACCGTGGACCACAAGAACAAGTAGGGCATATTCCACGCCAGCAGGGAAAGCTGCGCCCCCCCACCCCCACACAGATTCCACCAACACATCGCAGCATTCTTTTCTCGATCAACGTTACAGTACATCATCGAGCGCCACCCCATTATCCATCCCATTCACGTCCTCATTTGCGTGAACATCGTCCTCACTAGCCCAACGACCTCCCACCTGCAAATCCATCGTTTCCCAACATTTCAACGCCAAGAGCACTCGCTAGCTTGACCTTTGGACACTGGACCCATCCCCTCCCTTGCCCGCCCCGCTCGCTCTCTCCCACGCTGCTAGCTGACAAACTGTTGTGTTCAGCAAGCGATGGATCCAGATCTCCGGATTAGCACAATCAAGATTGTGAGCCGCTGGACTGGTTTGTGCGCATATCAGTGGCCCCCGATTTGCTGCATGACGCAGTCGATCACATCGCCGTCCTCCATCTCCACCTGAAGGCAACAAAGCAGCAATGAGCACCAGCAACGAAATGTGATGACAGTAATCGAGCTAAAAGCTCTGCAAAGCAGCGCTGCATAGTTCAGCAAACGAAGCAGCAGCACAATCACCACAACATAGAGTGGGCAACGAGAATAGAAAAGTCACAATATCAGCAGACAGATGCGAACAGGTGCGCGCATGTGCACATTCCCCAAAAGATATCCTAAGCTTGGGGAGCGCAGTTGCCTTTCAGGTGGCTGTATGCCTACATGGGGACCCTTCTGAGGCCCAATGACTTAGCTTGTTCCTATCTTTGTCAATTGCAGTCAACAGTAGTAACAAACAAGAAATGCCCTACCACTCTCAAGTGGTGAATCATTCTCTCAGCACGATGCCGAAATCACACTATCTAAGCAAGGAACGTTGAACATCAGGAATATTCACCTCTTCTGGAGACTGGTCGGGCTTCAACCTCTCACCATCATACAAGAACCTGGGAGTCAGGGATGGGCAGCAGCAGGCAAGTCAGGCAACGCTGATTTGATGCAGAAAGTTTCATGGCAGATCGCCTTTCTTCGATGACTAATGCCATATAAGTATGTGCTGTGCTGCCACTGCAATATCCAAGTGTTCAAACAGGCACTGGCCTGCACAACAAAACATTGCTGCAAACACTGCCCTTCAGCACCTTGTATGTGTCAGGCATGTCCCCCTCAGTAGACTATTCAGGAATCCCATCGCAGTGGCTTAACAACTTGCACTGCATCGCAGTGACAAGATGAGAAGACGCACAATCCTCACAAGGTGATAACTGTCTCGGGAATTCAACACGTCACACAGTGGCTGCAAGACTTCTGAAATGCAACAATGAACCTCTCATCAGTCCATTCTTGGGGACAGCATGTGACTGTACTTGTACGATGCTAGCGAATCGATAGCACACATCGGATATGTGCATGACCGATTCTGGACTTAATTCGTGTGCCCTTGCCCTACCACGACATCATCCAAACTCCACTGCAAGCAAGGCGCACTGGTTGGCAACGGCAGGCCAATGGTTGGCTGTGTAGCATGTTGTTGCATGTCAGCAGTCCAGGCAATGCAACATTCAATCCCATCAATACGGGGCCTCTAAAACCCAAGCCTGGCATCACACTCACATTTCTTTCATGCCGGTGCACTCAGTACGTCCGTGTACTGCAAAAAAGGGCAGCCATGGAAGCACAAGCAAGAACGCAAAAGGTCAAACCCCTTACCTGAGTTGATTCAACTGGAATGACTTCTTGTCACAATATGCCTTCATTATCTGCAAAAGCAGAAAGCAAAGCTGTCAACAACAACAGCTGGGCGCACCTATCAGCGGTGGTATTGAAGACTGTTTGGCAGAAGCGGAAGCAAAGCACTTCAAAAAATAGCACTTGTGGATGCAAACAGTGTCCAGCAAAGGCAGCCACTCTAAAATTTGCCATCCATATGGATGCATGCACGTGCAGATGAAATGGAGTGCCGATCCACAAACTGTGAGCTACAAGGCTTTGTCACAGAGTTCCAAACAGCCTGTTGGTTCTGGCAGTGTGCAACAAAGCCACAAGTTGTGACAAGGATGTCTGCTGGTACATTGAGCCAACATGGACGTGTTGCGCACCACTATTGCACAGGAGTTAATGGCAATGCAAACGCATTGCTGAAAATATGCAACTTTCCTGCTGGCATCGCAGTTTGCGCTTCTGAGGTCAAACAGAAGTTCTTTGCCCACCACACAATGGAGGGAGAACGTAGTCCAAACAGAGGTTCCACATAATTTAGTCGACGGAGGTTTGCCATGGTCCACACGAGTTCGATTATTGACAACTACCGCGACAAAGGTCCCACCAATAGAGAGTCCAACTTCCTTGCACCTGAGCAGCACTGGGAGCGCATGGGAGAGGGCTGCCTCTCTAAGACCAGTGGGCGATCAACAGATGTTTCCAGATTCTTCGGGTTAGAGCCTAGGGTGCAAGTTTTCTGCAACAATGTTGGCGCTTGAATCAAGAAGCATGATCTGGGCCACTAACGGGTGTTTTGGGTCGCATTATGCCTTCCCCATCATGCGGACTCCCCAAAACCCCAACCTACGGGGTCACGCCCGGTGCCATCACGCACGTGGCGTCACGTGACCCAAGATACTTGTGGGGTATCTTGGGTCGCACGACGCCTCCCCGTGTCACACGGATTCCCCTAAAACCCCAAACATACGGCATCATGCCAGCCCTGATCGCGCACGTGGCGTCACGCGACCCACAATACATGCGGGTATTTGTTGCTGGAGACATGTGTGCTTAGAAGATGCAAGGTTTGGGATGTTTTTCTCCAAGCACTCCCAGGCCTTTGTAGGTCACTACCAACTTGGCAGCATGTGTTTATATGGCCATCACAAGTGTGTCATTGTTGATTTGGCTGCAATGATGCATTCACTCAATAATTTCTGCTGTGGTGGAAAATCGTGCCAATCAGCTCTGAAAATGACACAGCACAGTGACGATCAGTTCCGTTCCCCTTGTCATATTCTCGTGCCAGAACAGGAAATGACCTTGCACAAGCTTTTGCTAATGTATGGCACCCCGTCCTTTCTCAAGAGATAGAAGCCGCCCCTCCCACTCCGATCAGGCCAGCCCGCTTGCCTTGTCGAACTTGGTCGTCTTCCTCACTTTGAAGTGCAGCTCAATCCCATGCTGGTCCTTCACGACCACGTTGATGGGCTCGCCCTTCTCCACCTTGGGCTGGGTCTCGTTGGTGGCCTCGGCCCCCTGGACGGGATCCGCTGGGGCGTCCTCGGACATCCTGCAAGCGCCATGGTTGAGATCAACCCAACTTTGCCTTGTGGGGCACCACTGTCGCACATCCTGGCCAGTGCAATCGGATGGATCCCCCTCTCGGCCATCCTGGCATGCCCCATTCGCCAAATACCTCGGAAAACATTCACGAGACAAAGGGGGGGGGGGGGCCGGCAGCCAGAGGGCGATGGCTGGAATGTACACATGCAAAACGACTGTTGCCGTGCATTCCTTCGACTCCCTGACTTCCTCCCACGGAACGGTCCGGGGAGGAACAGCGGGCCTCGGTTGGGCGCCGCCGTGCGCGGGCACAGGGGTCCCCCTTGCCTTGCCTGGCGAAGATGTCCCAAGGATTTGGAGCACAGAAACGAAAATGCACTGTGGGAAAAGCAGCCGCAGAGAGAAGTCTGCTCGGTGCGGTGGCCCCCTGGCGCGGGGATGGAGCGAGCCCCCGTCAGGTGCGTCCGCCGGCAGCCGGAATGTGCAGCAAACGAGCTCAGAAACTCCGCATTCTGAATCACGTGTCCATGAGCGCCGGGCCCACCCCTCCAACCCCCACCCCAGGCCCTCACAGCTTTCCCTTCTCCGCTCCCCCTGGCCACCAAGGCCACTGCGACTGATGTCGATGCCGCCCCCGCTCCGCTTTTCTTGTATCAAGCAATTCGCGACGCCAAGCAGGATTCGGATAGCCACGGCATGTCAACACGACGAACGGCACACGGCGCCATCCCCTCCCCCGTCCCCCCGCAGATTTCAAGCCGCCGACCCATCGAACCGCCCATGCCGAGACCAACCCCCTCCACGCGGGATCCTGATCCGATTCCGCCCACTGGGCTCTCGGGCGGCTCTTTGAGGAGATCAGATCCCACGTGAAGAGAATCGCCCGGCTCGCTGCGGGAGTTGGCTGGCCGGGAGCTTGGCTGAGGCACAAAATGGTACGCGTTTTTGTCAGAGGGTGGCTGCGTGGGCCGCACCTTGGTGTGCGTCCGCAGGAAGCGACAGCGGCGCAAGGCGACGGGCAGCACGGAGGAAGCCTGGTGGGTCTGGGCTCCAAAGGTCTGGGAATTAATGGTGGGGGCTGTCATTAATGGCACATTGTACTGCCGGATGTCAATTGTACTGCGGAGGTACAAATATTGGGCCGCGGCGGTCCCTCCAACCTCGTCCACCGTGTTCTATCATTCGTGTTCGCTTGCACCCTCTCTTGCCTTTTTTGTCTTTTTTTCTGTCTTTTTGAAAGTTTTCTGTTTTTTTTGCAGCAGTGCATGTATTTGGGCCTGCTAGCTTTTAATCTTTCCAGTTCTTCAACGCATATCTGCTGTCCGTCAAAACGCTGTATCCTTGGCTGTGTGTCGTCGTCGCCCTGGAGTCGTCTTGCCGCCTCTCACTCTACCATTCTTTTGGAGAGTGCGCAGCGCTCCTGTTGCTGCATGCCTTCCGCTGTTGTGAAGTACATCAATACATCAGGCGGTCACTTCGTCAATTGCGCGATCTCCTTTTGAACAGCTCTCCCCCATCACGGCTGCGCACCCAAACCACGGGAGAAACCATGTCGCCCTGAGTAGTGTGGCGTTGGTGCATTACAAGAATGACGCAATATGACAGCGATTCTTCCACCTCGCTGTGCCCAGCACTTTCACTATTTCTGCGGACAGCCAGCCACAGGCCTGGACTTCCCATTGAAATGTGCACCGCCGCCTGCCATTGTCGGCGGCTGCGAATCGCTATCAGGTGTTGATGAGCCCACAACGGGCGCGGATGCGCTGCTTCCACTTCTGACAATTAGCTGTGTCCGTCTCCATAAACTACAGGTAGTAACAGGTGATTGCATCGATTTCTCACTACTCATCAACGCGCGCCCCAGAAATCCGACGGCAAGACTTTCCACTTCATTCAGCGAAGAGGAGACGCCTCGACGCGACACGCCGCCCCTTCCTCCTCTCCGCAGGAACAGGTTGTTCAGTGCGCACAATTCCGCCACGTGCCCAATAAGACGCCTGCCAGCAATGTACCCTGGACTATATTATACCCTTAGCGGACAAATGCGCCACCGCTCGTGTTGATAGAGTACCCGACTAGGTGCACATTTGCCTGGAACGTGTTTGGCCTTCGACTCTATGGACATCGACATACTTATAGTTGCATTTCTCATCACAGCCTCGACCTCTTCAACCTCTTGATTTTTCGATCTTGCAGTGTGAACTCGTCCTGGAATTTGAACTTCCGGATGCCCCACTTGCAGTGATACGTCGTTACCCACGTGCCGTCACCCCTTTCCTCTGGTCCACTTATTTCTAAGTTGCCCATCCCGGACGCCCCTTCGATCTGCGCACCCGATTCATCGCCACTGCGGTCTTTCGCCATGTTGAGGAGCTGCTCGACTCCTGCAGAAACGCTAACCCCCCGTTTCAGAATGCCATACGTGATGACAACTGACGGTACCAAGTTGCGGTGTCATAAGTATTGTGAATGTGGCACAATGGTTGTGTGCCTTGCAAAATCGCAGCGGGTTTTCGGTTTTGCAATTCATGAACGCCACCGATCAGTGGCGGGACTGCGACGAATTTGAACGGTGGCCGCGCGGATCCAAAATTTCCAGAACCCGCCCTAAGGCTCTCAGATCATCAAGCAACACCAAAATGACTGTCTTATGTCCTCAATGGTCCCTGACAGTATGAGTGCTGTCAGGCCTCAGTATGCCAGTACCTATGCTTATAGTTGCAACCGATATTTGTATGAATGGCAAGGAACACTATCCTGTTGACGTAAAATGTCACGTCCAGAGCATTCATTCTTTATAAAGTTGCCGTATTTCACCCTCTCAAGACATAATGTGCTGTGACGCTGGCGCTAGTAACCTCGGTTGAAACCATCTTAATGTCCGGTAAAGCAGCAATACATGTATTGCTAGTCATTAGTTGTCGCCATCATATCTATCTGTGGTGAATTGGTAAAGTCCTGTACAGGACGTTAACAATTAAACACAGATGAATATGAAGCAATTATAAATTTGGAGAAATGCATGTATATGTCCTGCTGCATGGGGATTTGTTATCACCATCCAAAGGCGATTAGAGACAGTTGCATCGTTAGGACAAGGTATCCCAAATGCCGAAACGGAACAATTTCAGAAATACGTACGTAATGCGCATACCATGCGCCAATTCACAAGCGGGAATCGTCTCTCACCTGCATTCAGCCGCCTAATGATCGCTGTGAGGCCATGAAACATCTGTTTGTCGTGCGTCACCATCTTCGCCTCCCTGTGGAATAGTTCCGCCACGCCGGCCGCCCACTTCGCGTCTTCTTCTTCAAGTGCCTTTACATATGCAGACGTGAACGCCCCGCACACCTGCAATCATCAGCCAATCAATCAATCCATCGCTCATCGTTGCATCAATGCGACCCATCAACACTCGAACAACCGGCGGACCAAATCGATCAACCGCAAACCAATTGGTGAAATGGCGAATCTGCAATTTCATCGAAAATGCAGTTCTCATGTCAGTTTGGTAGCTGAACTTGCCCTGTCGAATAGAATAACTTTGCGCAGTAGATTTGTGTCTGCAGATCATGCAATAGAACGATAGCAATCACACCAAGATTGTCCGCAATGGTGGTCAGGTCGATGCACCGTTTGAAATAATCCGGACAATTGTACTAGGAAAATTGCATGCCCCACCAAACTGCCTCTGTATTTATTTTGCAACGTTCCCCAATATTTGATATCATCGGCTTGAAAACGAAATATTTGTTCTATAGATACGGGACGATGTTCAAGACGTACGATGACATAATTCATAACCCTCATCGCTCCTGAAGCTGCAATAACGGTGCTTGAAAACTTTCAGCTGTAGTGACCAAATTCTGCGGGAACTAAAGCTCTCGAATCTTCCTGCGCTCCAGCACTGCTGCTGGTGGTTCTATGGAGAGTGAAGCAAAAGCGCGTCTGGGCACACATTGTGCGTTAACGGCCAGTGCTCGCAACGTCAGAAGCTTTTCGCCTGTGTCGCCAACGGTGACAAATGGATCTTTGGCCCCCCGCTCATTGTCCTCATTTTATGGGGATGATTCTCCGGATTGCAGGAATCTTTAGATATCAATTGCGGAGGGCGACGACATGATGCTGTCTGGTGTTAATGCACCATACGACATGAAACGAAAAGCGAACAGCCTTTGGCACAGATATTGGCGTTTACGCGAATCAACTTCCTATTCAACCGTGCCTGACTGCTGAAAACCATGCGTCAATGAGCAAGCTGCGTCAGTTGCGGCCCCAACCGTGTTTTGCGTTCTGCGATTCACCACTGATACCGTTAAGACACCATATTGGCGATGCCAACGGCGGCGCCCTCGCACATTATTTGTCATAAATACGTCATCAGAGCCAGGCTTGGTTTTTACGTTTACGTTTACATTTTCACTTTTACATTTTTACGCGTAAAAACGTAAATTTGCAAAAGGGCCTATTTTTACGGCTATTTTTACGTTTTTACGGGTCCTTACGACACCTAGGTTACACGATGAAAGTTACGTACAATGATCAGTGCTCCGCCATCTCCAGCACCCGCAGCACAATGTCTACATCGCCCTTGGCAAGGGCGATGATGGGGCTCAACAAAAACTCGTCTTCTGCCGCTTCCAGGGCGTTTGGCTGCCATTCTCCGGACTCCGCAAGCCTGCGTGTACCGTTCTTATGTACACCAGGCAGTTTTTACGTTGTATTTACGTATTTTTACGCATTTTTACGCGTAAAAACGTAAAAACTGTTTTTATGCGTAAAAACGTAAATACGATCAGTTTTTACGGCGTAAAAACCAAGCCTGATCAGAGCCACTGTTGTCCCATTGCAATCATCGTCACCATTGCAATCACTGCGATGCCGCCAATCGTTGTCCAAGTGGCATCGCAATTGGCACCGCCAAAATGGCCATTTCTACCCGTGTTGAAGACCCCGCATCAGCGGCGCAAGCCTCATCAAATAGGTGCGGCCTGCTGCGCCATCGCGGGGTCATTCTGCGTCGAATCGAACGCGCCTTGACCGGGCTTGCTGTTCAGCTATCATATTGGCGATGCCAACAGCGATACACTTTCACACGAATTCACGCCATCAAGCTCACTTTCGTTCCATCGCAATCACTGCGATGTCGCCATTTGGCGCCAAAATGGCATCTCAATTGCAACTTTGGCATTGCGGCATCGCCAAAATGGCGATTTCTGCCGGAGGAGGATTTCCGAAGGAGCTCGTGAGCTCTCGCCCACCTTGGACCCCGACGCCTGCTCCTCCCGCTCAGCCGCCTCCGCCGCCGCCAGCTTGTGCGCCGCCACGCGCCTCGAGGACGCCTCCAGCAGCGACCTGGGCGGTCTGGACGTGTCGCCCAGAAACAGCCCGCTGGTGGCGGCCGACTGCGCCATGTTCTGCTTAAGGATCCTGTCGCCGTCCACTGCGGCGGCCGCCACGGCATTGCGCATCATCACGAAGGAGTCCGGGGAGCGGAAGTAGTCGATGGCCTGGTCCGGCGCGCCGCGGCCGCCGAAGACCTCGGCCATCTGGTGCTCTAGGTCGCCGGGGGGGGGCCTGGCGATGGACGGGCAGGCGGCTTCCGAGCAGCAGGACAGGAAGGGCAGCTGCATGGCCGAGGCGGCGAAGCTTCCTCGCGGGTGGCCTGCGGATGCACGGCCGGCGGTGTGGCAGCAAGTTGGATGGCTGCAACGCGGGCGGTTGCTTGCTGTGCAGCAAGCAGCCCTGCACAACTGCGCATGTCCACGGTCGAAATCGCGCGTCCATATTGGCGGCACCAGCGAGGCAGCCGAAAACAGTGGGCGGAATCCTGGATCAGAAGAGAAGCCGGAAGGGGGGGAAGCGATGGCTGCCGCGCGGCCTGCGACCCAACGCGTCCCCTCAAAAAGGCGCCTTCGTCTCACCTCGCCGTACTGTCGCGGCGAAGGCCCCCGGTCGCACCCTGCCGGTTTCAACGGGCAGCAGCAAGCGCGCAGCGCCGGGCGCTGGCTGGGCGGCGACTGCCCGCAGCCCGCTGGTGGCGGCGCACCTTCCTCAACGTTTCAACCCACCCTCGCGTGTTCCTACTCGCCCCCAGGTGCGCGTTTCGAGCAGCAGACACCATTCACCTGGAACAAGGCCCCTGCCGTCCTGCACTCCCCAATAGGAGCGCCAACCGTCGTCTGGAGTGCGCACGGGGCACCTTGGGCGCCCGTGTGAGCGAGGCGGATGGCGCCCTTCCCTGTTGTAGCTATCGCCGGCGCGACTTCCTGCGGCAGGCCGGTGGCAGACTGGGCTGATGGTCGCCACCCTCGGGACGCGATTTTGGCATCCCCTTGCCGGACGGCACTATGGGTCGATGCTATCGCAGCAGTTGTCATTGTGGGGTCCGAGGGGGCCTGGTCGGGTCGATGCTCGCTGGATGGGCCGTCAGCGTACGGTGGCGTCTTGGCTGGGCCAGGAACTGGGCGAGGGCCCACTCCTTCGAAAGCGTCGCTGCCTGGAATGCCTCGGCGAATTAATTCGTTGAGCGTTTACTGGATTTATCGTGATTCATGATTAATGGCACAGGCCAAAACTGGGTAAAGAAATAGTGCCCTGATTGTTGTTGCTCTTCCCCTTCAAATCATTCATGGAACAGAGTGGGCAGCGCCCAGCGAAGAACCGATAATCCCCGCGCGAATTGTGTCAATTAACGGGGCAGATATGCTTCAATATGTGTACGTGCATTGTGTGCGATCCATCTGATGGATTGCATGCAATGCATGTACACACATTAAAGTACTCATGAATATCTAGGAATCAATGTATAAAGTGGAACAATGGAATCATCACAGCAACGCGACGTCTTAAACTGGTGATAGATGCTAGCAGGAGCATTTCTGCTTGGATATGGGATCTCAAATGAACATGCGTCCTGGGCCAAATACTCTTTTGCTCATGCAACGAATTGAGTCAGGTTGGTCTGCTCATTTACCTATTTTCCCGACACTAAAATGGAAAGGATGATTTGGTGCAGGCGTTGCGGCTCGATGGGGCGTGTGTGCCGCAGAAGGGACAAGACGATTCGAATGAGCTGGGTATTTCCAATTAATGGTACCCTAAATGAGGCACAGCACATTGCGATGCCCGCAATCTCTCTATAATCTCCTGAATTCGTTGGGGTGCGCCCAGCCACTGTGAGTGTTGACGCCGGATGCATTTGACGCGCTTTTGGTGCGTTTGTCGAATGAAAAATAATCGGATTCTTTATAGCAACCTGGCGCTCTAGAGCGAGATATCGCGTGACACTTTCTGATGTGGTCGGTCGACATTTCATGAAGACTGGATTCTCAGCTTCTGGACCAATTCCATGAGTTATCTCTCGTGTTGTGAACATTTTCAGGTCCTCGAGGAATGTCTGCGTCCGAGCTTCATTGAACTCGATTGCCAGGGCCGAACGTCCCTGTACTCTCATCTACTCGTGCAAGCCCTGGTTTAGTCATCTCTCGTCTGCTGGGACTCTCGTTTGTCCCCATCAATGAAAGTATCTGCGTGGCGAGTTCACACCGATTTTCACACCACCGCAGTTCCTGGGTCATTTTACGGGCCAGTAGCCTTTAGCTAATAATTGTCAGTCTGGATTGCGTCCCGTCGTCTGTAAAAAATGCACGGCGCTAACAAAAGCACAAAACCCCTGTACGTTTGCTGGACTAAATTCAAAATCAAACCTCCATCTGTGAATAAAGGGGGGGTTAGAGTAATTACCTTCGTGAGGCAGTCCTTATGTAACGGCGCTGGCCGCGGACCTGCTATATCCCTGCCAAGATTACCCATTTGAAACCGAACATTAGCTCTACAGAAACAACTGCTGTGGGCGGCATGTTTTGTTGTTTTTTGTGTCCTATTCTGCGGCTCGCGTCCGTGCTGGACTTTTAAGCGATCTGCTTACAACACCAGAATGGGGCCTGATTCGGACAATTTCCCAGCTAAGTTTGCTATAACGAACTAATTTCCTAGTTAGGAAATGTCCGATTTGAGCGAATCCCTAAGGGAAGGCGCTATGTCGATTTTGTTACGCTCAGCGTCAATTTGACGTTAAGCGGAGACCACCCCCCCACCACCCCTATGTCTATGACTTGCTTGTGTTGTGTGCTCATCTTTGCTTCGGAGGCTCTATATCAGTTTTTCATAGTATGAAATAGAGCCTCACACACACTTGCCTGGGAGGGGGTGCCCTTTGTATGACCTGTTTCTCTTTCTCATTTGTAACAAATCTTAACACCACACCCACCTACCCTTAGCGTCAATCCTTGTGTCGAAGCCAGGATAGCTCAGCAACATGACCTAACGGTGGAATACAATTTCTAACGGGTTTTGAGAAGAAAAAACGCTCAGAGTCGTGCAAACTTGGTGGACTGAAAATGGGATTATAATTGTCATTGTAAACAAGGTGGGCAACCTCGATGCTGTAAATTGACACGTTTTAAGGACTTCCTTGAAGGCTGAACATTCCAGGGAGGTTTAGGAACAAGTTAGGAGTGCTTTGCTGATGATCAGCAGCGTTTTTAGTCATCTTTCCACCTCATGTTAATTTTATCCCCATTGCATAATCCCTTAGTGTCGCAGGTCTGGTCACCCCCACCCCCACTCCCCCGGCGTCAAATTGACGCCAAGCGTAAACAAATCGACAAAGTGTCTTCCCTGAGAAGAAACTGCCAAATGGCCCAGTTCGGGCACGCAAAAATCGATGACTTTTCTTTCTAAAACTCGAGCTTCCCACAGCTGTCAGCGGTGTAACTGCAAGCTGGACACCAGTTGCCAGCAGGCAGACTGCAAAGCTGAGTCATTGCCTTGCTGATGGCAGAGCACCAATTCATTGCAGCACACGATGCAGTAAGCAGCTTGCCACCTTGCCACGTCGCCGTGCTGTGTGCTTTGCGATTTACTAATGCGTCACAAGTGACACGCTTGAAGTTAAAGCCTTGCAATGCTGTGGACTGAAGCCACACCAACTTGGGTGGGGTTCGTGATGAAGGTATGGGTAGGCGGCACGTTGGCGAGCTGGGGAAAAGGTGAGCCTCGTTGGAGCAAGCGGCCTGCTGCGTGCAGCTGCTGCTCACAAACTACTGTGTCGAGCAATGTTTGGCCCAGCGCACCTTAATTCTGGGAAAGTCTTGCAAAAGGAACAACAATTAGGACATCTTCCGGCGAGGCTCAAATCCAAAGAAGGTTGGCCATGAGCGCACAGATCCCTTGGCCCGCGTTCAAACGCTGTCTGATCACCAAAGGATCCAAAACTGCCAAGGGGGCTGGCTGCCTGGTGCAGTTTGTGCCAGCGGCAGACTGCTCCCAGCACCCCACAGTAAGCCTGGTCCCCCGACCACCCACATCTCACCGATCACAAAACGTGTCGACCTCAAACTTGGCTGCTTTCCAAATTCCACCCAGGGCACACTAACCACCTCGTCGAAGGTGACAGCATCACTAATCGGAAGCCGAGGAGAAGCCTGGTAGTTTCCCATCACCCCACAGCGCCTACCAGATCCAGTTCCGTTCAGCGTCCGCTTTCTCGCACCATTCCTGACTCACCCCTCGTGCCCCAGAAAAGGCAACCGCAGCCAATGGCCCTCCGCATCCACCCCGCGGCCGCGGCCCCCGTGGCACTTCCCGCACACCTTCCCTGTCGCGGCGACCGACGCCCTTGGGCGCAAGGGCGGCACAGGGCCAAGTCCGCCAACTTGTTGCGCAAAAGCAACACACACCCAAAGCGCCCACACGCGCTACCCCGCGCTGGCCCTCCTCTCGCCGATTTTTCCGGCGCCTGCGCATCGAATCGAGCCAAGTGGTGGTGAGATTTGCCACCGAACGGGATCGCCGGCATCGCGGGCGGAGGGGCGCTGGTGACAGCGCGGCGGGAGGCCGGTTGATGAGACAGGCGCCCGCGCGGGCGGGCGCGGCGCCATGGGATGCGACCTCTGGCCGTTCCGGAGGGTGATGAGAGCGGTGAGCTGGACCCCACACCGCAAACCCATCCCGGCCTAGTGACTGGATGTTTTGCTATTTTTGTCACCGGCAATCGCCACGGGCGTTCGGGGCCTCAACGCTGTCGCGCCGTATGTGCTTTTGCCGCAGGCGTGGTACGTGCTCCTGGTGGTCGTGGTGGTGGGATTCCCCGCCCTGGTGTGGAGCTTTCACGCCGAGCACTACTCGGAGAAGATGAGAGGTGAGGCGCCAAGGCGGGGGCGCGGTGGCGAGCTCTCGGATGGACACCCCGCTAGCCTCGCGGTTTCACACCCGCGCAGATTGATGGCGCCGAAAATGCTCCCATCGTGGGCCTCGCGGGGCGCCTTGGGGCGCGCTTGGTCCCTGCGAGCGGAGGCTGGGTGTTCGAAGCGCGGAGTCGCTCGCATCGGAGGCGGGAACCTTTGGGCGTGCGGCTGACGCAAGCCATGAGCCTCGGTGCATTCAGGGCTTGCGGCTGCACGGGCGTGCGTCAGGCACAGCCCCGGCGCCGGAAGCGCTCCTCGCGACGACGGTCGCAAACGGGTTCCCCCGGCTGCTCCGAAGGGACCCTGATGTGATGCCGTCGCCGATTTCTTTTTTCATTTGCTTGCCGGATGCGCATCCGGCGCCCCACCCGCAGGCCATCGCTCACGCGATGCGTGCCGCCGGGGTGCGGTGGCCGGCATCGCGCAAACACTCGGCGTCGCTGCTGACTCGGTACCTTGTCGATTTTTTGATGCAGCCTGGTTCTCCGCGGGCGTGTTCGTGCTGCTCACCCTGCCCGTCACCTTTTACGAGGTGCGCATTCCCACTCAGGGCGGTCCCCGGGCTGTAGATAGTTGATCTCTCAAGACATCTGCACCGGGCGTAAAGAACGCGGCATGCTCCCGCCGCGCCCACATTCTGGTGATTTGCCGCTGAGCCTTGAAAGTTGGGAGCCTTGGGTGTCACCTTCCCGAAGTATCAGCACCTGATGCTTTTAGAGTGGCTAATGTGCTGGGGCCTTGCTCAATCGAGCTTCACCCTTCGGATGAGAGACACAAGTTTGAAGGATTCCTCAGTCTGTGTTTAGTCATCAGTACAAAGCAAGTCCAGGCAGTGCATGTCTTGCAGATCAGACAGTGAAACAAAGTGCTGTACAGTGTGATGGTGCGATGCGAGGTGGGGACTGCCAATTTGACAAATGCTGTGCAAGTGCACACCTGTCCGGCAACTTTGGTTACTTTCATGTAACCCCAGTTTCTGAGCAAAGCAGGTGGCCATCTGCGTGTGTCCACTGGGTGTTGCAGAACTGCAATGTACTGCTGCATTGGATTGAAAACTGAGCACAGGATTGCGAAATCTGTTCCCGCCCACACCATGGGGCAGGTATGCCTGCAACACAAACAGCCACCAAGCCGTTTTGTGCCCCTGAGGTCTTCTTGTCAGAAATGACTCAACTAGGCTCATGACAGGCTCTTTGAACAAGATTTGCATGTTCTGCTCTTTCTCTATCCAGTGTGGTTGGAGATATGGGTGCATGGTGGCGCTCTGTCACTCATTGACAAATGCACCCAAGGAATGGTTGCATGGACTGCCTCACTGGATTCCAATGTATGCTGACCACAGTCATCTGATGCTGAAGGATGGTATATATGTCCCGATAAGGTGCCCAAACAAACCCCACAACCATCTGAAGTTGCGTGATGCCACATGCGCGATTGTGCCTGGCATGACGCTGTACGTTTGGGGTTTAGGGGAATCCGCGTGACAGGGGGATGCATCACGCTACCCAAGATGCACCAAGGTGCAAGAGAGCCCTAAATGGCCTAGAATTTGATAGGGTGTGTAGAATGTGCGATGGCTGCTATTGCTGTTTGCCAACCTTTGGCACATTGGCACATTGTTGATTGAACTTAGCAGTGACACCTGGCAGTGATGCAACTGTTAAGTTTCGGATGCTTGCAGGTGGCGATGCATCTTGAGTACTACACGCGCCCTGACCTCCAAAAGCATGTAATCCGAATCCACTGGATGGTGCCGTTCTATTCACTCAACAGCTGGCTGGCCCTGAGGTTCATTAGGGCCAGGCTCTTCATAGACCCCTTCCGAGAGTGCTACGAGGCATATGTCATCTACAGCTTTTACTCCTACTTGTGTGTCTTCCTGGACACAGAATTGGGCAGCCTTGAGGATTTTTTGGCGATGCAGCCCACAGTAGGCCACATGTGGGGCTTCCAATACATTTTCAGGGACTGGAGGATGGGCACCGAATTTTTGTGGGAGTGCAAAAAGGTTGGTGAATCCTGGCGTTGTGCCTGCCTCCACAAAACAGAACAAGGCCCTTGAATTCTGAAAGCGATTATGGGCATGTGTAACTTTTAAACATTTGTTGGCCATGATTTAGTCTATTTTCTGCATACCAGCCATTGACACCACCTACAGTGCAGAAAGGTTTGATGGCAGCACACCGGGGTCATAGCATAGATGGATAAGGTGGATAGGATCAGTCCTTTGTTCTGATGTTTGGGATGGCTTTTCTCGCTGCACTATTTGTTGGCTGATCTGGCTGTTGGGCAGGATTGGTTGATGCATACCCTGTTGTGCCATTTCTTGCACTGGCAATGCCCTGCATTGTCTTGCAAGGCGACAGAACCCAAACTTGCACATTGGACGCGAATAACACCATGTCTCCTGAACACGTTTAGCAATTTTGTTTTCAATGGTGTTGCACATGTTCGATCTGTTACCAGCTCTTGCTGCTTGTAAGGATTGGTGGCTGTCATGACCGTTGCAAGAGATTCAGACAGCAGCAAGCTGCCACATGGTTTTTTACACTATGTTGCAAAAAAGTATTGGAGTTGAGAAAATGTTGCACGGTGCTTTCCTGACAGAAAGAAAGTGCCAACGCAAAGGAAATTCGCTGCGTTGGTAGCGGATTCAGTGCAGGCTATTGTGTTGGTAGCTGATGTGACAGCAGATTTCTTGGGAGTGCATTGTGTATGCATGCAGAGATCTTTTGTGGCTGCCATGCAACAGCAAGAATTGAATTGGACTTGTTTTGGTGCAGGGTGTGTTGGGATACGTGATCCTGCGGCCATTGACAGCCTTGGCGGCCATGGGTGCAAAAGCTGTAGGTATCTACCATGACGGGGAGGTGACGTTGGCGGGAGTATGGTTCTACACAGGACTCATCAACAGCATTTCTCAGGTACTGGCAATGCCTTACTGTACAGCAGTCATTCTTTCAGGTCCCCAGCACATGCCACAGATACTGTAGCATTCCTTCGCAAGAGTGAGGACACTGATCGATTCCAGGCCCCTTCAGGCAGTGCGACTGTTGTTTATGGATGTGTGTGGGTTGTGCAAGCGCGGGTTGGAGACCCAGCACTCCAAAAGGTTGATGCTCAAGGCAATCAGGTTGGCAGCAACTGTAAGGGCCTCTCCTTTCCATTCCGTGGCTCTTTCCATTCATTTTGGGGGGCACTGCGGGTGCGGCCTCTCGGGGTCCGTTACCAACCTGGGCACATAGCAGACAGCTAGCAGCGAATGTTGGAGATGTATTGCGACCCTGTGTACCCTCCAAGTAATCTTACGCTGCAGGCGAATTGCCCCTGAATGATCACCTGAGTTTGAAGGGACATATGCCATGGCAGAATTTTGTTTGCATGTTGCCTGTAAGGACGCGGTCATTCATTCACCCCATGCAGTCCGATTGGCAACAGCACCAGTCAATTGTACTGAGGGCGCAATGGCAATCGTCAGACTTGAGCACAGTTGATCATCGTGCTTTTTCTTCCCCTGCGCTACTTGGTCGCATGACTGCTGTTATCCATCAGTTTCAGCTGTGCTGTGGGACTTCCTTTGATGGCATTCATCTGCAGGAATAGTGAAGCATCACAGCAGTGAATGTTCAGGAATGTTCTGCCACTTAGGTGGTGCCCCTGCTCATCCACTTCTTGCAAGGGAGTTACTATCCTTGCTGATTTGCACAGGCCTGCAGGTCCCTTGGACGAAGAAATTGAAAAAGGGCAGTGAGTCGTGTGGACTGTGCCATTTCGACACAAAGGCCCTGTATGACCTTGAAAAGTGCATTGTGTGCTTGTTGCAGTGTTGGGCGATCTACTGCTTGATAATGTTCTACCGAGCCACGAAGCACGAGCTGAAGCCAATCCACCCCGTCGCAAAATTCCTGCTCATCAAGTCCATCGTGTTCTTGACATACTGGCAATCACTGATGCTGGCCTTTGCTGTTGAGGCGGGGTGGATCAACACCAGCTTTACGATGTACAATGCTGAGGATGTGGCTGCCGGGGTGCAGGAGCTGCTCATCTGCATCGAGATGTTCCTGGCTGCACTGGTGTTTGCTTATGTGTTTCCCCCAAAGGTATGGTACATCCAGGGATCGCGAACAGTGCAAACCAGTTGAACATGAAACTGCTAGAATCTGAGAATTCATTGAGAAGCTAATGCGTTGCAGCTATGCCTGGCTTGTGCCATGGGATGTATGTCTATCCTTTACTGGCATGTGTATGGGCAGGATGAAGCATTGTCCTTTCACCATCCAATTTAAACCCACAGGGTGATGCTTTTTGCCATTCTGTCGTGCTCAGAAGATCAATCTCAACTTCTGTGTGCTCAAGTTAGTGCAGATGTGGTTGGCTTGTGCTCTGGTGTAGTACCAAGTCAAGTGCATGGAGACATGGGCATCATTATGAGGCACATGTATTTATAGCACGCCTGGGCGCTCAAATAACATGCTATCAGAAGATTACATGAAGTTGTGGAAACAGTAGTACATCAACCACAGCTTCCACTACAGGCAGCTGGCTTATGTTGGTGTTTTTGAACTGGTGAAGGGCAGAAATCCACCTGTTGGGATTCCCGATGTGGAGTTGAACATCCCACTGTATGTTTCCCGAGGGTCCACCTTGGCACATGTTTCCATTGTGCCACCATGAGGGCTGTCATACAAGTGGGCACCATGACCATAGTATTAACAAAATTGGAAAGAGCCTGTGTTTGTAATTTTAAGATATGTTAGTATGTGCATGGACTGTCTGATCGAGTTGTGTTTGTGGTCTCTGACCTTGCTGCAATGTCACCGTGGATCTTGTGCTTTTGTCTGCTGCCTCAGAACACTGACAGTCGCTGCAATCAGATCCCTTCCATATTCAGCAGGCTTGTTGCTAGACTGACAGCATCCAGATCAGAAGCTGATTAGCTTTCAAGAAGAAAAGTGCTGGCATGATTGGCATCCCTTTCTTCCCTGAGCAAGATCTTTGAAGCTCATCCCCACAGTGTAGAGACAGATAAAGTCTGGAATCAGCTTGCACAACAGACTTGAAAGTGCGAAACTGGAATGGAGAAGCATGCTTTGGATCCAATGCTGGAAAGATTGAATCCATGACTGGAAAAGACACAACCTTGCAAGCATAATTGAGGGTGGACTTGGTAGTGACCCAGAAAATGCGATTCTCTGTCCGAGGAATGACAGGACTGCATTGCCGTTAGTGGGATTGAACGCCATCAATGTTTTGTGTCCGTTAGCCGTTCTGCAGGGCGCCACAGTTGAAGAGATTGCCTAATAGCAGCAGAATGTGTGCGCAATAATTTGCCGTGAATTCGTACCAATCTGGCCGTTGCGTCGCACGTTGTGCCGGAAATTGCCAGAACGACTGAATTGCACAAGCTGGCCCACAAATAGCAATTGTTGTTTGTGTTGAAAAGGACTACATGGACCCTTCTGCACCATCGGCTGGCTTCTTCAATAATCTCAAAAGCATGTTCGACATGCGAGATGTCATGAGGGACGTCACAGGTGAGCGAAATCGCCCTCTCAACCACAGGCCCTGCTTTTGCGTACCTTCCTGAATCCGCATCGGTTGCGTTTAACGAGGCAGCATGAGGCGCTGCAGTGGTGGCCACAATGTTCAGGCTCCTTTTAGTTCGTTGCGTTTTAGCAAAGCAATGTCAGAAACTTAGGCGCACTGTTGGAGTGACGTCTGCTGAAAGAGAATGTCAAATCTCCTTTGGTTTGACGTGGAGAATGGCAGCAAACACTTGCACGTGCATGCTGGACAAGGAGGTTGGATATGTAAAGCGCGCAGTAAGAAAATTCTCCCTGCGATTGCCTCGGAAGGAGTGCGATACACGTGTGGTCCATTTCTCACTTCACCGTTTACTTCATGTTTGTGACCCAGACGTCGTCGATGCTGACGTGTCCATGACGAAGGAGAGGGTTGCCAATCTGACCAGCAGGGTGGTGCACACCTCCGGTTTGTTCTTAAAGGGCCCACGGGACTTCTTCAAATGGAGGCGGTGAGCAAAGGATGGCCGATTCGCTTGCACGAAAATGTATCATTTCCACAAAATTGCGTTTGCCAGAAACTATTTGCTTTGTGCGTAATCGATCCGTTTCTAAGCCGCAGTAATTGTTGAAAACCGTCCATTGGTGCTGTGTCGTGAATTAAACCCGGGCCCGGTGCTGCGATTTAGATCGCTTCATTGCATGATTTGATATCTGCATTAACCTGTAGCTGTCAGTTGCCGTTTTCATTTCATTGCTGTTTTTGGCCTCTTCACCTACATTACATGCTTGCCATCTATTGCACGTTGCTGTTTATTGGATCGTCTGTTTTTGCAGCCCGTTATGGTGTGATATGGCACTGCGGCCGTTCAGGGGCACCGAGGCGAGTTGTTTGCGCATTGTTGTTTATCAGCTCAGCCTTTTTGTGGAGAACTTTAGAAAGGGGACAAACTTTAGAACAGAAATTTGCACGTTATTGTTCATCAACTCAGCCTTTCTGGGCGTTTGCGCCGCAGGTGGAGGAAGGGCCACAGGAGACACCGGCGTTCGGGGGAAGACCACTTGGACAGCGAGGCCCCCCTGCTGCGGCTGTACGAATCCATCGACTGGTCCCTCACGCTCCCCACGGGCCTGGAGCAGGCCATCCGCCGCGAGGAGCAAGGGGAACTGGACAGCTACGCGCCGTCCGGGGGCGTCGTTGATGGACGGCCGGCGGGAGAGTTGGTGTCTGTCAGCGAGCCGATTTCCGAAAGGGGTGGGGGACAGACGCTGGGCCGTTTGTGAATGGCAGGGCTCTCTCCCCCTCGTGTTCTTTACAGACTTTGCGTTGTTGACAAGAAAGGAAAGGTGCCGCGCGGCGGGCATGCACTTCCTGGGTGGCAACTGGGCAGCGAGGCTCTTTTCCAAGCCGTCTCCTTCGAACAACCAGCTGGAGGGACTTTGTGCCCATCTACGCGGAGAAGACTGCATGACGGGACGCAACGCACCTGGTTCAGATGCAGGCTGTGAAGGGCGGGATCTGTTACCTGAGTGTGCCATACCCACTGGGTATGGGCGCCGAGGTTGCGTTTTGTGCTGTCTGGTCCGATTGCATTGTCGTTATGGACAGGGCATTGCCTCTGTGTCCCCAAGGCGGCGGGAGGTTATCCGCGCATCCTCAACATGAGATCCCTGAATGCTGCGTTGTGGTGTACCCGGGGCGGTTCGAGGATTTGGCTGGGGCTTGGAGACTGCGGGCGGGGGGCGATTTGAAAAGAGCAGGCCTCCTTTGAGGGAAATCTTCTATGGGAGAATAATGGGAATGGTGGTGGTGGAAGTGCTGTGCGCCGGTGGCGGCGTCGCTACTTTTGGGTTGTTTTCATTTGCTGGAGTACTGTACTCCGTTGAATTCGATGGAATTTTTGTTCCGACTTCCAGCGTCGCGGCTTGCATAGATGGCGGCTGGGGCGTGGGTGGTTTCCGGCCGTGGATGACAAAGCAGCGGGCGGTTTCATTGACAGGGCCCCCTTGTTGAGCGAGCCTATTAGGTTTACATATTTTATTGCATCCGATATTTGCTTCGCTGTTTCTCAGGCTGGCGTCTGGTTGCATGATGTCCCAACAACGCCATCTCCCAGTGGTTGCAGAGTTTTGTCCGATGCTTGTCATTTTCGGATATGAAGGTTATGGAGGGGTCGTGAAGGCCATGAAGGCCACAATGACCACAAACATAAAACTAAAATACCTTAAAACTCGAAAATTACCAGCATAACCTTCATTTCCGTAAATTAAGGGTATCGGACACGTACATTGTTGTGACATAGGCACATGGCTTGCCTGCCGCAGGCGGTGTCCGTGCGGCCTTGCGCAACCTGCTAAGCTAGGATCTCATTTGTCGACAAAGGTGTGGAAGTTCGGTTGAGTGATTGCTTGGGAACATTTTAAAAAAAGCTTGAACAAGGTGCATTTTGCCCTGGCGGTCCGCCCATCAGTCATTTGTATCAGGGCCGCGGCACAGCTTCCTATTTCCATATTGCGGGACCTTCCTGCCTTTACAATGGAATCCGCTGCACTACTGCAAGGCTCAGGGCCCGAGGACGACACATGAACCTGTCAAGAGTTAAGCAAGATTTCGAACCCTGATTTGAAAGATTTGAAACTTGGGGGAGATGCAGGCTTTCCACTGGCCTGTGATGTGACGAAACGGTCCCTTCTCATTCGCCTATACACAGGTTACAAAGTTGCCCGCTTTCATGGATGTGACATTTGGCGCGCCAGAAAACACGAGTCTGGAGCGCAAGACAAATTGGGTCACGAAATTCTGATCGAAGCAGAGGACGAAGACGCTGAATGTGAAGAGGCACGCATTGCAAAATCATGCTTACAGTAGAATACAATCGACCATTAGAAAAATCTCCGTGCATGCTGGCACTGATTCACTGTTTGTGCCCGTCCTGGAGATGTTAAAGGCCCCTTCCGAATTCCTACGGACCTCTCTAATACCAATTAGACACCTCACCGGCGACAGGTGGGGCGAGGCCCCGGGGCCTCCAGCCGCGCCACCGTCAAGCCAATCTTTTCGTCAACTGCCAACCAAACAGCAAACAAGACATTGACACAAAGACGTCTAGCAATCCCGCATTTGCCCGGTCCTATTTCAGCCCCGTCATCAATCAGCCAATCAATCAATCAATGGTACAAGGAATGTCACATGTCGGGACAGGGCCGGCTCCCTTTCTGCCCCAGTACAGGCGCGCCAATCACTCGCGTTCCATGACTACCCGTTAGTTCCGTCCGTCTAAGCGCGGGTACCCCACAGTTGCGAAATGTCGGCGACCAAGGGCGCCAGCCAACATTTGTCGTCCTTGACAAAGCCCACCCACCACCCACCACCACCACCAGCGCTTGCATTGTCGCGCTCCGCCGTCTCCCGCGGCCGACCCGCGCGACCGCCCCACCGTTCGCCCCGACGCGACCCGCCCACCACCCCCCCGTCTCTCCGCTTCCCGCGCTCGAGCCTAAACCCCATTCACCCCCCACGCTTCAATCTCCTCAGAAGCCGCTCGAAGAAACCAGGACGCCCCCAAGCGGCTGCAGCAGACCATCGCTCAATCTATCACCCGCAGACAATCACTAGAATTGAAGAAACCTCGCGGAGGAATTGGGTCGAATCGGCCGAGTTGCGAATCTCGGCTTCACGCCGCCTGCCGCACCGCCACGCCCGCCGCACCGGGCTCCGTCGCCCACTCCGGGTGCTCCACCGCGTGCATCCAGGCCTCGGGGTCCCGCACGGCGAACTCCGCAGCCACCCGACATCCGTCCACGGTCCCCTCCACCTCGAGGACCCTGGCCCTGCCGCCGGGCAGCCCGCACGACCAGGCGCCCATCCCCCGGGCGGGCGCCAATCGGGACCACCAGCCGGCCTTCCTTGCGCAACCCACCCTCTTCACGGACGCCAGCGGCACAGACAGCAGCAGGTTCTCCCGCGATGCGCTCCGCAATCTCAGGAGCCCCTTGCCTTGGGCGTTCTTGGCGAGCTCCAGCCACACGCCTTTCTGCACGCGCTCCGCCCGGCTGTCGTGCCTGATCAGCCGACCGCCGCGCACCTCCTCCGCCTTGATGCTGCCGTCCACGAGGGCGTGGCAGATGCGCGGGCCACGCTTGGAGTCGTCCCGCACGGAAAGGCTCAAGATCTTCTCCGACAGACTCTGTCTCAGAGACATCGCCTCAGCCGATCCCAGGCCCAGAGATTGGATGGATCCGAATCGGTGCCCAAACACCAGCCGCGATTCAGCGCCGCGAAGGTGGAAACTGCAGCGCCTGGGGCTTGTGCCAGGCGGCTGGACCCTCTCTCGGCGTGCTGGCGCAGAAGGTCGCAGTGCAGCGGCGCCAGGGGGCACTCTCAAAGATGTGGCGTGCAAGAGAGCAAACGGGGCCACCGCGATGCTTGAGGGCGTGAGGTCACGATGCCTTTGTACGCGGCCCGACGGGAGTGTGACCGGGAGGACTTACCGAACAGTCGGCGTCGATCACACTGACTGGCCGTGTGACACAGCCACTCTGGGGCATCCGCTTGGGGACAGGCCGATGACCGCGTCCTGTGAGGGCATGTGGTCAGTGTGACAGGGGCCCTGTCACGTGCGCCACGGGGAGCTGATGGACACCTCCTGGCCCCTATTTGTCAGCTTGCATGATGATGTCGATGACACGGGGGCTCGAGCCGTCAGGTTCATTCGACATATTCCAACCGTCATCGAGGGATGCCCGCGGGAAGGGCGCTGCAGGCTCAGCGAGCGGGGCGAGCAACGGCCCCAGCAATTGCGCCGACCGAACGGGGCACGCAAACATCAGCGCCTGATTGGTGACAGCGCATCACCGGCCTTTCGGTTCTTGCTCCATCGGGGGGGGGGCCAATGCGAGTCTGTCGGCGGGGAGCATGTGTGCGCATCCTTGCTTTGTGATGTGGATGCGTGTCTCGTACAGCGAGTCACGGGGGGGACAGTCCCACGCTTCACGCGCGTCAAACAACTGCGCAAGGCACGTTGAACCCCGCTGCTTCGACCGTCACATTAGGGGCGATGAATGAACATGAAGGAGGGTTTCTGCCAAAAGCCGGTCATGTTCAACTCTGAGTCAAGAGAGTGCAATCTGTTTTGGCTCGTAAAACCCTGTCTTGCCTCTTCGCCTCTCTGAGGCCCAAAAGGCCGTTGCGCCATTCCCAATCACCAACCCGCTGTGGCGGCAAACGCCCCGTTACATGCAGGGCACTTACGAGTCGGAAGGACATGGCTCAGGTGGTGACACCCTTGGAAATGTTTTCTTACAACAGCTGACGGTATGTTGTGAGAAATGTGCTGCTTTTCACAACTCCTTTGGTCCTCAATGGTTTCTGCGGATCTTACAGTCCCCGGCAAAGCAATGAGGCGTGAATCTCCACTTTCACGCCAAATCAAGCTTCTCTGCCGGCATTGATTGCAGCCAAATCACTCGCCCAAGTTGGGTGAATGACATTTCCGCTATTTCTGAGGTTGTGCCTGATATTATTGGTGGAATTTTCTTTCGAAAAGCTTGGGTTGTGGGGATTAGAGAATGAGAGGGCGCACCATGCTCGCCATGAATACGGGCATGGTTCCTCATTTGCAGAATGTAACCTTGTGTTCCCAGCATCTGCAAAAAAAAAACTAAGATTACTGGCCTATGTACTATATCTGTCCCAAAATAATTGTCCAATACTAGAAAGAAAAGTATCAGTTCAAATTTTAAATAGAAACAGCTCTTAACTACAAGCAGCGGTCAGAATCTGAACGTTGGGTCCCATACCCTTGAATACTAGTTTATGAGACAAAACCAAAATCTGCCCTAGCCCTTCTGAACGGCGCCAAAAGTTGCCCATTTTGGCCCAAACATGTGCACTTACATCGCACTTCCACTGTAGATCCCCACGACCTCGACCACCCCTAAACGTGTGGTAAAGTGAGTCGCTGTAGCCGGCACTAATTGTTGTGTGTATATGGACGCGTGCTCCTCCGTTGCGAAAAAAGATCGTTGTCGCAGTGATCTCCAAATTTTGAGGATTTCTGCCCTGAGGAAAGTCCCTGCAAAGTGCCAAATCCAAAGTACTCAATGCACAGACTTGCTGTCTTGTTGTACAATTTTCACTCTGATTTCGTGGCCACAGCTCTGGACAAGACTTCAATGAAACTGGAAGTTTCTGTGATGGCAATGCGCCATGACCACATGAACGTGACTTGAGACAGAGGAAGTGCAAACAGATTCAAGAAGCGTTACGGGGCGCATGTGTCTGCACGGCTCAGTGCTCCGCACTTTCAGCTATGCCTGAAGTGCTGAAACTCAATAAATTCATTTGGAGGCAGCTCTGGCCGAACTTCAGACGTCAAAATTTAGGGCAACTTGCAATTCTCTTACAAGAAGTTGTTCGAATGAGAACATATTGTGCCGAGTTTGGATTTGCTGGGCGCACTTGCCTGGTACCTGTCCCAAAAGAGATTGATTGATGACAAAGCATGGGCATTCATCCTCCCCAGGGTGGAACCGTGAACGATCTTCTTGATTTCTTCACCCATTACTAGAGGATGGTACAACAGGTGTCTGTACCTCAGAGGCAGGAAGGAGCTGAGGAACACCTCATAGCCCTGATGCATGACTTTTTTGACTGACTAATCGAAGCTGCACAGAGCTTGTGTATCTGCAAGCCACAGCATGTGCTGATGAGGGACAGGCCTTGCCATTGGTTCTCAACGTGCTGCAGGAATTGGCAGACAGCATCCCTACTTCGCAGGACAGGTTCTATGAGTCGAGGACTGCCTTTCCACCAGATAAACATTTCATGCGATCAGCAGGAATCACAAATCAAGACTGTTTTCCGCACCTTGGAAGAAGCTGCAGGTCTCTGAGCTCAGTGGGAAATGCATGCAGCACAAGAGCACACGAGTCAAGCGAGCTCATTCTGGGAACACAAACAGGGCAGACACAAAGAATGCACATCGCCATTGCAAGTGCGATGACTGTGCTTTGAATTTAATGCACAACAACACAGTGGAATATGTGATTGCAGCAAGAATTCAAGCAAAAGCTCAGAATGACGCTGGCAGCAAGCAGAGGGGCCCTAATTTCAGGGTACATGTGCTGCTGCTCGCCAACAGCTATTCAATCCATGCCTATCCAAGCCAGATATGCTGTGCCAACCTCGACTTAGCACCTTCCCTTGGCCAGAGGATTTTGTATACCCAATGGCCTGACCTGACTTGAAGCAGATTAAAGCATGGCGCATAATTGAGCTTTCCCTGAATGGAACAAACCACCAGGATGCCCACAGACGACTACAGGTTCCAAAACTGTACAAGGCAAGCCAGCCTTGGAGTTGCCTAATATGGCACCTGTTTGTGTGCTGTTGGGCCATAGGGTTGCCCCATCGCCGAACTGCCGGGGTGAGGGGCTTGAGAATGGTATCGCCAATTCGCTGCAATTGTCCAGAACCTGCTGGTGCCCCGGACACTCTTGTCAGAGGTACCAACAAGCCCTGGACATCCACATCGAATTTGACGATCGCCATTCCCAAGCACCCAGCCAACAGCAGTCTCAGCATGCCAACTCCAATGTGTGCTGCCTCCAGCAGGAACCATTAACAATTGTTCACTAAACACCATCAAAATTCTATCTTGATATCCTATCCTACCCAATCGAATTTGTTACACAGTACTAACAACAGCCATATCTAGTGGTGGGAGTAGTTTGACTGCACAAACATCAATAGTGGGTGGTGGCCAGCTGATCACCGACAATTGTACCAATGGCATACCACAGCATAAATACAGCAACACCACAACCAGAAGCACAAATGCCGATGCCAGCTCCTGGCATAAAATTCAGAAAGTCTGCCTTGACATCTTCAGCTTTATCAAGAATCTTCTGCTTGAGGGAGAGGAATGACAGCTATGCAGGAGAACACCTCCACCGCTTGCACAGGTGGCAGTCCACATAAAACAGAATGGTCAAAACTAGCACATGATACACGCCCTGCGCCCCAGTGAGACAATGTCTGGCTCAGCAAAATAACTAGAGTCCAATTAGTATCGCCCCAACAGGTGGACAGGGTCCAAGGGGATTGGGCAACGCCTCTGCGATGAGCGCCACTTAAGCAGCCCAGGGTGATTTTCTTATCGCCAAGGCTGCATCCGCACCAACACCACCAACTGTCCCCGGCGGGCGCTTGAGAGTTTTCGTCGCCAGCGACTCCATCGCGATTCGCTGGTAGGCATCCCAACAGCCATCACGAACAACTGCCTTGCAGCCGGACGCGAAGATCAACCGACGCGAGAAGCCACTTTCGTCGTTTCGCGTTCCAGGCGACAAACTTCGGCAGTCAGAGAAGCAGTTGTCCAGCCAAAACGAAAAATACCCGATCCTCAGCATCCCTTCACCACACCGTCCCAGCGCCGTCCCGCCTCCGCGGTGCGAAGACCGCTTAGCCCGCGCACATTGATGGCGATCCCCGGCGGAGCCGCTCCGCTCGGACCGAGATACTCCTGAGCAGAGCGCCCCGATCCGCACCTCACTCAGCGCACCTTCATCAGCTTCACCCTTTCCAGCCGCAGCATGCGCGGCGATCCTTGCGTCGCACCAAGTCTCCGACGCAATGTCACCCCTGTTGAGAAGTACTGGTCGCAAAAGCACATTCTGGCCTGCGCCCCACGCGCGAAAATCCTTCGCACTGTCAGCAATGGCCCCCAGAAGTTCCTTCATGCCTCCCACAATGCACACCGCCCCCCTTGTTCCCCTCCTCGCCGCAGGAATCCGCGTAGCCGCCGAACGCTCTCTGAGCCGCCCCCGCTTACCAAGCCTTTCCGCCCCAGACCACCCTCCTCGCACAGCTTCGGCGATGGCAATCCAATGCTGCACGGCGTCAGGATGAGGTCCGCGCCCAGGCAACGGCCGCGCACCGCCGCCGACAATGGTCGAAACGCCGCATTAAGAAGTCCTGGCGCGTCGGCGACGCTCTGCAGCGCGCCGAGGTCGCCTTCACCACGCCCGTTGTGAGGCTGGAGAAGGAGGGAGGAGCAACGGGCCCGCTCCGCGCCAGGATCCTCAAGGTGGGGGCATGGGAATGAGGCCGATGTAATTGGGAATGCAGCCTGGTTGGCCGAGGCCGGAGGTGCTACTAGTAGTCAGCCCCAGCGGTTGGCTGCCGAGTTGGCGCGGGCTCCCTGCCAAAGTATTGTCCCGGTGATTCGCGAAAAACCGCGAAACAGTTGGTACTTAAGCGTATAACGGGCCAGTACCTGATACCTGAAGTATTACTTGTCGGTACGTTGATATTAATGCGGGAGTGTCCAATAGCTCCGATTCGCTGCGCTCGCGGAGGGGCGCCAGTCTTGCACCCTGGCAGGGCCGTCACCGTCATGGCTGGCTTCTCGACGGGCGACATGGCGGTCCGGAACACCACAGGACGTCGTGGGAAAACGCAACGCTGCACCGCAGACCGGCGCGGACTGGCTTGTCTCAGTTTTGCAACAATCGGGGACGAAAATGAACATGTTCAGGACACTTGTTTGACCCCAATTGTGACAGATTGGGATGTTGATAGTAGAATAATAGTAGTACGTGAAGGCACTATTTTGAATTTGTACCTAAGGGGGAGGGGGGGGAGGGGCGCCATTGACGCTAAGAGATTGTTTTATTGCGCTAAAATCAAAATAACGTGGGAAGATGCACAAAGACGCCACTGATCAGCGGGAGACAGCTCATGGCTTGTTGCAACACCACCTGAACTTTTCAATTTCCGAGGAAGTCCCTAGAATGGATCCATTTTCAGGCTTTAGGGCTGCTTCCGTCGGCTATCATGGCTTTTGGTATTCCATTTTTCAAATCACTGCAATCGCCACGATTTGGGCTGGGTTTTCCATTAGAATTGGCTTGTATTCGTATGGATTTGTTAGGTAATGTTGCTGAGTCACCCTGGCATCGAAATAAGGATTGACGCCAAGGAGAGAAGCAGGGTGGCGGGCTGGGGCGGGGGTGGGGCGGGGATGGGGTCTGAGCTGAACTTCGCATTGACGTCAAGCATACAAATTCAAATAGTGCTTTCCCTAAAGAGTAGCAGAAAAAGGTAAAATAATTGTAACTAAAGGAGCTCAAAGCACATGGAATTGCACAAGTTTGCACGTACAGGTCCGCACGGGCGCGGACTGCCCTTTCCGTTCTTCAGCTGGACTTGGCTGACATGGACTGCCTCTTATGGCCATCGCGGACCACAGCCATTAACTGCATTCCAACTGCCTTCGCGGTGCAGAGCAGGCTGCCCGCCAAACGTCGAGACAGAAAGAGCTACGGGTGCTGATTCTCGAGACTTGCTCACATGCTGCTCCATTCGGCGATTGGAGCTGCTGTTGCTCGACAAAAGATGATACTTCAAAGGAAGGAAACTACTCCCTGTTCTACGCTGTTGCTGAGCCATGAAGTCCAGCCGTGACGGCCTTTCAGTGGCCGCCAATACAGAAGCCAACCTGAGGTGTAAGGAGAATAGGGTACTTTTCCAAAGACACCGATGTTCCTCACATCACTCATTGCTGCGCTCAGCGCATTGCGCTGCAAATACCAAGACCCACAACGGAGTGCTTGAGAAATAATTGACGAATAGTGGCCATTTTTTATTACCACAGCACTGCACATCCATAAATTTCCTGCTTAGACATGTACGTGTTGCTTCTGAAAAAATATCTAAAGGGTTTTCCTTTCATAATGAATACTACAGTTGAAGAAATGCTGCAGAGCTTGGCGATCACGTTCCTCGTTTCCGTGGAACAAAGACCAAGTGCCGCATAGGGCATTCACCGTTCCCATCTGAAAATCTGGTAGGCCTTGACACAACATTGACAGAGCATTGCATCAACACCGCTCTACAGACACGAGCTCTGAAGGTTCGCGTTGATCCAAGGGCCTATCAATGGTGGATCAAAGGCTGCCAAATTTCTGGATGCATCTCCGGGCTGAGAAATGGATCGTTGATGCAGCACTGCTGGAACACTGCTTGTTTGGCAACGTTGCATCAGACGCCTTGTTGGAGGGCTGACAAACGCCGACGCCAAGAGCCATTGATTCAAGGGCACTTCACCAATATTGTGGGCCATTGCTTCAAAGGCCCCTTGCATCAACCCTCATCAACATTGCATCAACGCCTGCCGAATTTCCAGATGCCCATAGCACATTGACGCAACGGCTTAAAATCTGCTTCAAACCCTGAGAAAATCTTGCGAGCTGCCTCCTTCAGTTCAGGTGTGCAGCTGCAGTCCTTAAGAACTTCGAAACAGGCATTTCCGTCAACTCATCTTGGCGACAAGCACTCCACATGTTGCATTACCAATGGCGATGTGTTCCCCTTGCTACTGAATCACATACCACCACCGCAGGCAACGCCGGGCTGATTGGGCGAGCTAGCGAATGGCTCTGAGCACATTTCTGGGACTTTTGGATGGAATCATGGATTGTCCAGATAATGCTGTCAGAGAATGCGTTTGAGCACATCCGTTACCTCTTTAGCTTATTTTCTTGATTCTTACAAATCGTGGGCTACAACACTTGGAGTGCAATGAGCTACATGGCTGTGCCAGTTCCATTTGATAGGAATTCCGTGGCTTTTGGAGTGCGCCGATGTCTTGATATGTTTTGAAACAAATCACCGACGCTACTCACCACAGGCGAAGCGGGATACCCATGGCTACCTCCTGGCCTTCATATGTAGGATTTCCTGCTTGAGTTGAATTGAAATGAATCAGCATTTGCCGCCGATTCACTTCAATTCCATCCAGAAACGTTGCTACAGTTCAATACTGCAATCAACAGTAGCGCAATCAAGAATTGGATCCGCGGCAATGACCGGTCTCTGCCTTTGGATATAGCGGGCCACGAGCTCCCTGCAAATGTTGGCGTTTGTCGCTGCATACTCGCGAGGGCCGCGTTGCATATGGGCTAGCAAAATACCAGATGATGTGCCACCGGTGGCACATGGTGCACCATCCGCAACACTGCAGAACCACTGTAGTATATTCAACCCTTCCGCATTGTAACGTAACGCTTGGCCTTTCTCTGCGGAGCAAACAACAAAATAAATAACCTTCTTTTAACAATTTTTTTGGCGGAGCGACGTAAAAACAATTGAAGCAACGCTATGAACCAAGAAATGGGGAGGCAAAAGCGTAACGGTATATATTTTGATGCGGAAGGGTTGAATATACTAAGACAGTATAGCGGCAGACTTGCCAGAAACTGCGCAGGTTGTTGTTGCTGCACGCGTACGTTTCTGCTGCCCACGGTTCGCCTCCACTGCTGAAAGGCGAGCTCTCCAGCCGCAGTACCTGAAAACGCGGAAAACACTGCTTGAAATGGTTTCACGCCACCTAAACTATATGGAAAGGGAGTCCGGCTCGTGGATTGCATGGCGCACTTGGCAAGATCTGCAACAATATGGCGATTGATGTGACCGGGTGCCGTTGGTTACATGGCCAGTGATTGATCCAGCTTCAGATTGAGAGGTACCACACCGTTGTCGCAACACTGTGGGCCAGCAGAAACCCCCTTGCATACGCCACACTGAGAGAACTCATAACACGGTCGAGGTGGATTGATAATTGGTCCCAGGGGGGCCGACGTTCAGATGGTTTCGTTCAGCTGTGACATTACAGCGACTTCGCCATGCTCAGCGTCGAATTGGCATAAAACTCACTCCCGGCCCAGCCGGCATCGAACCAGACGGTCGCCACCCTCTACACAATGTCGACCGGTACATGGATGAGAATTGACACCGACAGCGGCGGCCCTGGCCTGGGACCGCCATCAACTTCAAGCAGAAAACCGCAACAGAACAGGCCCCTTCAGTGTAGGCGTCACAATATCAGACGACTATAATGGTTCAGTGATAGCTCGACCCGCGCTGCATTGGGCAATGATGGAATATCCTTAAGGAGAAGACGACGACACGGCCCTCGATCAAGGGGCGCAGGTTTGGGAAAGGGTTCGCTTCTCATCGTTCTTACCACCCCAGCCCATGAAAGGGGAGGGACTTCGAGGATGTTGGGGCGTTGGCGCTGCGTATGTTGCATTCAGGGATTGCCTGGGGGTCCTCGTAAGGGCCACACAGGTGCGGATGGTTGCCCATCATTGGAGCGGTTGCCCACGGGGGGTCTTCACAATTCGGGCGGCCACCTGAGGATGATGGTGTCAGTTATGTTGGCCTTAGTGGCGCAATCCCCCCCTGTGTTGAGGAGCAAGCCCGTCACGCGGATCGGCAGCGCGGCCGCGGGCCTTGGAAGCGGCTTGGGGGGGGAGAGGCAGCGGCCCCGCCAGCCAGCAGAGGGGCTTTGAACCCCAGAGGCAGGCACATCGACATCAAATCACACACGGCTAAAGAATCAGCGTCCGAACAGATTCCCAACAATTCCCCTGCTCCGACAACTGCCCACGCCTGACTCATCGGACCTTGCAGCCGAACCATCGGAGGGGGTCCCCCCCAACCGTCGGCCATTATTTTGGCCGGCGGGCTCCTCGGCCCACCGAGGCACAAAGCCATCCCACCGCCCGGCCGCGCTCGGGCGCGTGGGGCGGGGTGGGGTGCCGCCGCCCACCCCTGCTAGGCCGCCGACCACAAATGCACACATCCACACATCCGCACATCCGCACACGCCAATCGCCCTGACATTCCCACGGGCAACCCAAAGTTTCCCATGCAGACGCGCGCAGCGCGCGGAGCGGGCTGCCGCCCCGGCGCAACGCCGTCTTTATTGACAGGCCCTTATTCTGAAATCGGAACTCTAGAGCGCGAAACGGAGTATACCAGGAAGACCCCACAACCCCAACCTTGGGGCACCCGCGCAACCCCACGTGTACGCGCGGAGCGGCAAGCCGGCGCGCCGCGTGTCCACGACTCCCCCGCTCGCCGCTCCGTTGCCTCTGCGCCGCTCATCCCTTCCTGAACTCCGGGAACAGGCTGAAGGCGGACATCCACGCCTGGGGGTCCACGATCGTGACGGCCACGCGCGCCGCCGCCTTCTGCTCGTTCATCCCGTCCAGCACCAGGTACCGCCCCGCCTTGCCGAACAGCGAGCCCGAGCTCAGGCTCACGCCCTGCTCCTTGAAGCTGTACGGTTCCTCGCACTTGCGGACGTCGCCCAGCATCATCGTGAACACGATCTCGCCAGCATCGCCGCCCTTATAGTTGCGGACGCGCACCAGGCCCTTGCCCTCCTGCGTCGCCAGCTCCAACCTGTCGTTCTTGTTCAGCTTCTGCGCCGGCAGGCCCTCCCACATGATCACGCCCGCCTTGATCTTTTCCATCTTGGCCGCCGCCACCTTGGGCGCCGTAATCTTCTTCATCGACTTGGACCCGAACGACGGCCTGCGGTCACCCATCGCGCCTACACCCGCCGCAGCTCCGCAGCACCTCGGTTAAACACCAAATGCGATCCTCGGACGATCCTCCCTCGCCGAGACAAGGCGAGTTTGCCGGCAGCGAACGGCGCTGCTTGGCAAAGATGCGCGGGCAGGCGTCTGCTGCTGGCCTCCCTCGAGAGCGGGTCTGGGGGGAGGGGGGGGGGCTGTGGGGGCTGGGGCGGTTGTGGGCGGCCCGAGGTTGGCAGCGAAACATATCCACCTGGGCTGCACCGCCGCAGTGGGGTCCAGTAATCGCGTGATGGGATCCCCATCACGGGGACAGTCGGAGGCGTTGGAGGCGCCCGGCGTGGGGCCCGGCGGCCAGGAATCGCATGACTCAGTGGAGGCGGTACGGATCCTCTGTACGTACGTGGAGATGGGGATTTGTACGTGCATGGGCTGGGAAGCGGGGGGAAGCCTCGGGCTGCCCCTGAGTCTGCCGGGATCAATCCTTGCGCGGGCAGAGCGCATTGCGCCGCCATCCTTGCCCCAACCATTGCCGGTGCTGGATTGGTTGTGAAGAAAAAGGTGGGTTCCATCAGGGTGTGGCTGCCCGATGGTTGTGTGCAAAAGGGCGTTGGAGGAGGTCCACGCACGGCAGTGCTGGCAGTGCTGTGAAGGTTGGTGCCGTGGGAGCCGCGAGAGGGGTGCTGTGCGGCCTCACAGCTCCGCTGTCGTGGTTTGAAAGTGCGTCCGGCCGGTACGGGGTGGGTATGCCCTGGGCGGTTATACGACAGGGCGATGGACCCTTGCCGCATATCGTGTGAGAGATTCGCGGGGCGGTGGGCAGGACTGCGCTGTGCGGGTACCGGCGTGACACGTGGCGCTGTTCTGCCTCCGCTACGACGGAGAGGCGGTACAGCGGGCGCGGCACTCACGACGCTTTTAGGCAGGGTTAGCCAACGTGATGCGGGCCCGAAATGTGATGTGTGCGGCGGGATGGGGGAGCCGCGGTGAACGTAGTGAGGGCGCTCACCGGACTTTCCGATAATGGTCGCAAACAGGGCATCATCGCAAATGTCGGTACTGGACATTCGCTCTCGCGCTGTGGCCGGGAGGATTGCCTGCAACAGATATTGATCAGTCATCACGATGAATGGTGGCAGTACAGCGCTCCAATGCTACCACGGCACCCGTGGGCGGTTGTGCGCGCCGTGGGTGCACAAATCAGCGCGGGCTCCAGCAACGGCGATGTTGGAGCGATTTTCTCGTCAACTGAAATTGCTGGCAGCGGCCGGCAGCGATGTGGCCGTTGTTGAACAAGGGGCGGGTACCCAACGTGAGTGGTAGCATGTATGATGGAAAGCCGGGTGTGTGCACCGCAGGGCACTTACAACGGCGATGTTGGAATGATTTTCTCGTGCCCTAGAAATGCTGGCAACAGAGGGCAGCGATGTGGCCGTTGTTGAACGAGGGGCCGTTCCCCACGTGAGGGTGGCATGTAGGATGGAAAGCCGGGTGTGTGCGCCGCAGGGCACGTCCATAACTACCAACGTTGGACTTCGTCCACATCTGCGAGGACGGCCATCAAGCAGCAAAAGATCCTCGACCTGGGATGAAGGAGCCAAATGACACGACCATCAACGACAGCATTGCCCGCGTCGACGGGCAAGTGGACAAGGGCTCAGTTCCAAAGTCCCAGAAATGGCCTCAGAACCGGTCGCTAGCTCGCTCAACCAGCCCGACGTTGCTCCATACACTGGTCTGCAAGCTGGTGTTCAGAATTCCGGCAGGTCAGCGGCAGATAGCCTCGCTAATAACTCCCCTGAGCGCCACCGAACCTAAAAGTGTCCCATTTAATGCGATATCCCAAGCAAACAATCAATCAGCCAATCAATAAATCAGTTGGTGAAGATTCATCGCTTGCCAAGGCGAGGACGGAGCCATCAGGCTCGCCAACGTCGCGCCGGGTGTCATCATCACCAGCAGTGTACACGACAAGGCAAGGAGGCAGCGGCGAGTCTCCCAGTTTTGCCACGCAAGGGTGCGTCATGATTCACTCATCGAAATCTGATGCACAACACAAACAAAACTTGTTTAAAACCCACCGAGCGTCAAGAGACACTCGCCAAGAGCCATCGGGCCCCGCACACACCCGCGCGTGTCTCCCCCCGGCCCCGCGCTCCCTTCCCCCACCCAGCTCCGCGCCTCCCCCCCGGCCAACACCGGTCAAACCCCATTTCCCGCTCAATTCCCCAAGTGGGGTTGAACAGCGAATAAACTCCCACAAGCCCCTCGACCCCACCCCCACCCCCGCGCAAACAACATGCCCTCCGCCGGCGGCGACTGCGTCGCCACGCTGCTGCTGGGCTGCGGTTGCCGGCGCAGGAGGCACCTCGGCGGGCCCCTTTACAGGAGGGACCACGGCGGGGCGCGCGGGAGGCCCGGGGGCTGGGGCTGGCAGGGGAGGGGCCGCAGGGCCTGCGCCTGGACGATCGGCTGCGGGTGGGTGTGCCCGTGGTGGGGCGGACGAGGGCACAGCCGCGGGGGCAGGATGCGAAGGACGCTGTGAGGCAGGTGGGGGCGAGAGGAGCCCGGGAGAAAATTGGAAATTGGCGGATTTGCCAGGTTTTCCACTTTCTTGCTGCTTCTTGCACTTTCTCGCCGTTTTCTCCTCTTTGGCGTTTTGCTATGCTTTCTTTTATTTTCTCCCATGGACGAAGAAATGGACTTCTTTCAACGGCGCACTTAATGTTGTGTTTGTTTCGATTGATCTATCGGGAAGAGTTGCCGGCCAGGGCAGGGAGGCGGTGCCCTTCAGCATGTCGTTTGTGTCCGAGACAAGGAGCGCCAACTTTGGGTTTCGATATCTTCTCTTCGACGTCTGGGGTGGCCAACTGTGGTGATGCACTCGCCTGAACGCTTGTTTCTCACAGATTGAGAATGCCATCAAACAGGCAGTTGAGATTGCGCGATTCGGCCATTTCCAAATGCGAATTACTGTGGCTTTCCGAGGGTCAATATTGTCGTCCATATTTCCGTCGGCACCACAGCTTAACACTGTATGATTTTCGCAAAAATCAATGGTGTTTGTTCCTCATTTTCAACATCTCCGCTCACTTATTTTTTCCATAACTTTTCGAGCGTCCATCTTCTATTTGTTAATTTTGTTCTAATTCTGCACTAGATGTCTGTCAACGACCGGAGCGGTCTGACACCAGCGCGTGAGGATACGGAGACGTTCGCCCAGGGTTCCCCATTTGGATATATATGCCTTGTGTCCACTGGGTGCTGCGGCAGGGGCACATAGGGAGAAATGCTGCATTCAATCGACAAGTAGTGGTCCATGAGACAGTGCAACGTTTGGCAGCGCGATGTGCCGGTTGGCGCCTGAACCCATGGTGGCGGCTGCCGTTGAGCTGGGAGAAGCTGGGAATGCGATGGGTTTTAATGGCCGAGAGTCTGTGGGTGGGAAGGGGAGGCGGGATCGCACGATACTTAGGGTTCAGATGTATACTATTCCTTTGTTGCAAGTGATTCTCTCGGATCATCCCCCACGGAAATATCCGCACAATCGCTTCAATCACATATTCTCCGCGAATCTGTCGGTGCATCGACTGTTAAATTGCGGTACGCTCGGAAGCGCATAGAAGACCACCCCAACTGGCGACCGTCGAGAAACACTACCATCGTTCCGGTGGCCGAAATTCACGGCACTGTGAAATTCGAGGTGGAATTCGGTGTGCCACAGGGCCAAATGAAGCTGTGTGGGGCGGCCAGTCACGGCCTCTCGAGGCTAACGGACCCTGTCCTTGGCGTACATGCTCTTCTAGGACTCTTTGGAAGTTCTAACAATAATGCAGCAGACCCATGTCCTTTTCCAGGTGTCGGAAGTTCGTCCGCAAGCGGGCAGCCGCTCGCTTGTCGCCAAATGGAATTTGGGCATTTCTCTCAGAGTATCAGTTCATTTTGCACCATTGAATGCGAAACATCAACATTTTGGAGCAATCAAAGGCGTCGCTTTGCTGAATAAAACACACTAAGCAATTGGAGAACAGCTGGGGTACGCAAAGACAGATGCCACTACGTAATTTGGTGCATTCTAGCGATGTTCCGGTCAATTCCCTCACCGATAGGACAGTCAAGACATGTGCTCCGAATTCAGGTTTACTACTCAGGAAAGCTATTTATCAAAAATATCGAAACCTCGAGAATTATCTTTTGTTGGTGGAAGAGACGGCGATAGTACATTGTAACGAGTGTACGTTGCTACGTCAGCTAAGGGATCTGATCTCTTTTAGCAGTTTTCTTGGTGAGCCTATAGTACATTGACAGACAACTAATGAAATACCACAGTCCGAGCAAGAGCGCTGCTCCGATAGTTGTACTCCTGGGAATGGGCTGGCCTGAAAGGGTTCAATGGGGGATGGTGCCTTGCCGTGGGTTGATGGTGAATGCATTAGGCGCGCCTAATGTGCCCAATGCGCCTGATGTGCCCTGGGGCCCCTCGGCGTTTTCCTGCTCGCTGGAGGGTATCCTGGCCAGCGGCGGGTGTTTGGAGATCAAGAACTGGCCAGTGACGTGGGAGGAAGCTTTCAGGGGCCGGCGGTCTGAAGTGCAGGGAACGAGAACGCGCCAGATTGATCCAGAGGCATCGGCCCAAGGGCGGCCGTGGATCGCCTGCAACGCGCGTGTTGGACGATCCCATTCAAAGCCGGAGGCGTCGAGGGAAACGCTTCAATCTACACCTCCATCCTGCCCAGGAACCCCGGGCAATTGGAAGATGGGAGTAGCCTTCCACGACTGGGTGCTGTTGAGCTGATCCTGCGATGTCTCAATGTCACGGGGATGCCATTCGCACGTCGAGCGACCGCACTTTCAAGGCGCGCCGGGCTCACGCAAGACACCTCCCGAGAGGGTGGGCAACCAGGCTGCAACGCCAATTCGGCCGGGCAGCGCCCGCGAGCTGGCGCAGCCAACAGCGACGAACACATAGAGCGACAGCTATACTCTGAACGCCGGGCAACGCTCGCAACGCCGCTGCCATCCCCGGCTGGGAAAACGCCCCGCCACGCAGATTCCGGCCTCCGCCTCTCGAGTAGCATCATGACAAACAACTCCGGTGGCTGGAGTCAATGTCGCACAGACCCACCTCCTTGCGCGGACGCTCGGGCAAAAATCCACACGCAGTGTCGAGTCAAACAAACACACGCGCCCAAACCATAATGCGCTCTGAAGGCGTCAGAGGAGCAAATTGCGGTCCGATCACACCGGCGCGGGGCTACCCCCGCAGCCCGGTCTCTTCTTTGGGTTGTGCTGCAGCAGGTAGGCTGCCAAGTACTCTACGGGGTCCTCCGGTCGCTCCCTCACCAGCGCCTGCATCCCTCCCATCAGGCTGGGCACCACACTGGCCTCCAGGTACTGCCGCACGGTCAGCGCCCGGCTGCCCACCTTGGCGTGGATCGCCCGGGCCGCCGCCTGCGCCGCCCGCACGGCCTCCTCGTTGTCGATCACCATCGGCTTGGCGGCATCACTCGCCGCAGGTGGCGGGAGGCCTTGGGCTGCGGGGTTGTCAGCCGGGGCCGTGGGCGGCGCGTCTGGAGTTGGTGCGGCATCCAGCTCGCCAGCCATCGGGTTTGGATCGATTGGGCGTCGCCGATTCGGCCTGTGCTCGCAGATCGCATCACGAAAGCTTGAGATTTGTTAACAAAGAGGGCAGAAAACAGTTCATGCAAGGGGAAACCCCAAGAGGGATGCCCCGGTCAGGGTCGTCATGCCGGCACGTGGGGCGGGGTGGCAACCAGCCGGTTGGGTTGGATTCAGGCGCTTACAGAGTGCGGCATGCACCAAGGGTAAGCAAGGAGTGGGGTGGGGTGGGGAGAGGAGGGGTGGGGAGGGAGAGATTCAAACATGTCTGGGAAGACAATGGCAAGTGGTCATGCCACGAGTGCTCCGTGTGGAGTATCGCGTAAGGAGAGGCCAAAGGAAGTGCACTGGCGGAAAGGCGGGCTAGATCGAAATGGCCTGCCCGCAGAAACACGCTGGCTGGGAAATGGAGTTCGTCTGGCAGGGGTTGGCAACCAAGCGGTAGGGTTGTGTGCAGGCACTCGAGAGTGCAGCAGACACCATGGGTTGCCCGCTCGGGGTCTTGGGCGGGGGGGGGGGGGCGACTGCGGAGATTGCCCGGTAGGGTCGGCGAGGCGACGGAAGCGCATTCACTCCGGCTAGAGTGGCTCTCAGATCATGAGACATGAGGTCGTCAGATCCATGCCATTTAGAGCAGTACCCTCGGAGAAACAGCGGAGGCCGGGGGTGTGGGCGGGCGCCAGCCCCTTTTGGGTGACGCCCCCCCAAGACGGAGGTCAAGCGAGATCCCCGGCGGCGGGCCAACGGGAACGAGCGGGCGCCGATTGGGGCGATCAGACCCCGTCGATCGAGCGGGGCTGCCCGGCGCGTTTCGGGTCGCTGCGGTCAGCGTGACGCCCGGCGCGGCGGGGACCGCCTTGGAATGCTCTTCCCCCACTGTTTTGGTGGAGGTCGGAGTGAGCTCACCTTGAGGGGGTGGTGCACGGGCTGAGGGATCGCGGCGGTGGGCGCCTGCCTTGCGCCGCCCCCGCTTGGGCCTTTTTGTGTCGTCGTCGGGCGGGCGCGGCGGTGGGAGGTGTCCGGCTGCCGCGCCGCGCAGAGGCGGTCGTCAGGGGGGAACAAGCGCCCGTTGCATGATGACAGTGATCGACCGACTGCAATAAACGACACTGAACAACCATACACATTATCGTTGAATCGTTCTAAAGTATGTTGTTGAGCGATTGCAAGACTGGCTCTGTTGTAAATTTTGCAACGACTTTTATGCTGATTGCAGTAATACAACAATCGTAATGACCGAAAAGTGTCGACGTCTTGGACGTCCAGACACAGTGCCACGTCACGACGTCATGTCTTGATCAAGACACCACTGCTCGGCAGGTTGTGATCTTGGGTGCTGTCGATGCTTCGGGGGTTCGTGGAGAAACTTTTCGACACAGCTTTCCTCGGGCGGAGAGGTTTTGCGTTTACCTCCTTCCTGTCTGCGCTCATGTGTGAATACATCTGGATCCAATGGAATCCAGAATTCCGCTTTGGGCAAAAATTTCAGCAAAAGTGTAAGGGCAAAAATAACGTTCTGTATATTCAATGATGGTTCATCGTCACACTGCTGTTCTTGATCTCGTTCGCAAGACTTTTGCCCACTATGCAAAGAGAGTTGTTTTTGATCCTATTCAATCCATGGCAATGACTGGGGTCTTATTGAAAGAAGCACAGCCATTAAATGAGGACAGTCATTGTAAGTTGCAACATTCTATGGCAAGCGGTATTCCCTGCCGGCTAAATGGAATGCATTGAGCAGTACCACTAGGTATACTGCTGCGTAGCAGTACTTTCTAGGTCACATATGCAAATATTCTTTCACGAATTCCAACCATTTGTGTGTTTGTCTCCAAACTGCCCAATTTATGTTGTTGAATGGGCTCTGATTGGACTCGCTGGATGGATTGGAATGTGGATTGGGCCGTATAGTTGTTGGCTGGATCGATTGGATCGATGTGTTTGGATGACCAATGCGTAGCAGTTTGCGAAATTTTCAGTTGGAATTGCAAAAATTGGCAATATCTTACAGCGCCTTGTGCAGGATGCCTCCATTCTCAGTTTTGCAAGAGTCGATAATTCTTCCAGCCTCAAATTTCGGCGGCAGATGGTAACAAAACTGAGAATTTGCCTCTGAACGCGTTTTAACGTCTTAGCAAGCGTTGAAGGCGATTTACTCGCCCAATTGCAGTGCCAAGCGCAACAAGCCCCTGTTGAGCGGTGAATTTCTCAATTTGAGAATCCCAAAGCGCCGGTCGAATCCTCTCTTTATAGCGTCTCTGCTGCGCTGCACTTGCCAAAGCACGTCCACACATTGAGGTGTAGCGAATTAGGTAGCACACTATGGCGCGTACCAAACGGGCTCCTGAGCACAGTGGACTGTGTGTGCAATGCCGTGTCTGCCTGCCAGTTCGGACGCCCACACTATGCCCAGGGATCGCACGAGTCACACGTCATCCATACACGCTTACTGATGAACGGAATCCACAAATTTGCCTTAAAGCAGCAATAGCATGAAATACATAAAATGAAAATTGAATGTAGGTGCAATCGCTGATGACAATCAAATTTCGCGCCCCGTTGCGGACTGCTCCCCGAAACACCCAACCCCAGGAATCGACAGCATGACCCGAGGAACTGATTACCAGCGTGATATTCTCAAAAGCCACAAAAGTGGCGATCCGTGTGGAACGCCAGCATTGCTGATCTGTCACATCATATACATATTCACTGAAGCGCTGTCGCATTGTATCGGGGCTCCCCGCATCGTTGTCCGTCTCCAGTTCCTCCAACATTATATTCCTTCCAACACATTTACGCTTCCCCTACTTGTCGCCCCGGCCTTGTCCTCACCGCAGCCACCCGTACGTTGCGCGCACACTCAGAGTGGCGGCAAGGCCACTCGCTATTCACACGAATTCACGCCGGCGTGCCCTATAGATGTTCTAGGCCTAGAACGTGCTGTAGGGCCCGTCGCTGTGGTGTGGGTGGGATGTGCGGGGCGTCTGGTACGCGTAGCTCACGCGCTTCGGGTACACGTTCCTATGAGCAGACCGAGCTGTCACGGAACTGGGTGACGAAAATCCACGGCGAATGACGACAAGTCAAGTTGAAATGCTCGGTGTGACTTCATCGAGAGTGATGTATCAAGCATCAACCAATATGCGAGCCAATCTCCAAGTTTTGTGCATTGAGCCAGAGCATGAGAGTACATTATGTAGAGAATTATATGGAATCCAGAGTAGAATGTTAGATAGAATTTGCTCCTGTGGTGCCTCAAAGTCTGGCCGTGTCGGTGCATGTCGATGTAAATGCTCGTGCATCGAAGCAAAAGCACCCGGCCATGAGCCTGTCGTACGCATTTGCTGTTCATCCATGCCATCGGTATATGCTCAGAATCACTTCGCTCTGGACCGTAGGCAGCGTATTTCTCCGTTATGTGCGCATCCTTGACATCGTTTTCGACGCTTTCGAGCACAAATTGCAACGCTTATTACTAATTGTGTCTATTGTGCTTAAATGGCGCAACGCGCCTTGCTGTGTTGCCATCATGCAATCGATGACGAAAAGTGCCTTACTTGCGATTGCTTGCCCTTGCGCGACCGTCACTCATTGGTTTCTTGCTTATTCCAATCATGTCATTTATCTCCACATCTTTTTGAAAATTAATTGCCTTTTTGTTACCTGTTGGAATACTGCTTGTCGCAGTCGTTGTAGGCTTTCTGCGCGTGGTGGAACCCTTTGCGCCCGTCAACAAAGTCGTCGTGCAGATCGCAGATGTAGTAGGCAGAAGCCTTCCTATCGTAGTGGTCCCAGAAGAAGCGCTTCACGCGATCCACGCCGTATGGGCACTGCGGGTCCTTCGTGTCGCCGTAAGAGGTCGAGGGCTGGCAGGTTGAATTCCATGGCATCAATCACCAAAGAGCGTGTCCAGTAGGTGGTGGCGCAATGGAAGGTTGGGATAATGAATGCGTTGATGTATTCGATTTGGAACGCACATCAATCATCAATCAAAAGATCTGCTCTCACTCAAGCCGCTGCAATCTGTACAATCACCTGTTGGAAACTGCGTTTCCGTAGATTTTGTTGATATAAAATGCGCAACAATCATCCAAGCGGACAGCGCTGATACTGAGATGACGGCTACTAACGTTTTTATATCCATCAGCGTGAAGAGCTGCTTTACGATGCTTAGGTTGTGTACTGGTTTCCTGCAGTAATATGTCGTGCTGCTCTATTATTGTGTCTGTTGCTAAATTTAATACTGTTTTGCAGGCAATCAATGGAATTTCGCGAAATCCTGGAGCTGCTCGGCGACGTATTTTTGCCGCATCTCATTCACATGCCAGAAAGTCTAGTGCATTATGCACAAATACCGCATCTTGAATTTCACCACCACGCTAAAGCTAAAAAATAAAATGCCCTTCATTATGCATAATTTTATTTGGTAAATGATGGACTGTGTGCCATAGCATACACGCAGCGGCTCACCTTGAGGACGGGTAGCGGCGAGTCGCATTCTGACCCCGGAGCGAGAAACATGTTGCTTGGGAGGGCCTTGGCTAGCTTGTGTGCGATATTGCGGTCTTGCTTCTTGTCGAAGTTCCTCAAGAAAATTTCCTTGATAGTGACCTTTCCCTGCACCAAGGATGAGCAACCGCTCCTGAGACTTTTGTGTTTGTTCCAATTGCGCGTCCCCTGCGCAGGTTGCTCTCCCCGAGGGTAGAGCATATTTTGGTGATTTGACAATGCATAGTGATGTCAGCGATGTTGCATTTAACGCATTTTCAATTTGATTATTGTTACCCAAGACATCTCAATGGTATGTATCGTTAGCAGGGGGGATGTTTGTCCGGAAGGTGCACCTACACGTGTCGGTGCGATGGATGCGATGCATGAGACATATGGCGTACATATCGCAGCTATATTTTCTACTAGCTCTCATCCTCCTTGTTTACATTACTTGGACATTGGAAGCGCATTTGTGCACAATTTCTTCGCAATATCGAGTTTTGCGCTATCTGAGTCTATTATTTGTGC